CACACATCACATACACCACACAGACATGCACACACCACACACATACACACACACACATACCATACACAGATGTACACACACAGACACCACATACACACACACACACACAGACATCACACACACAAAGATACCACATATGCACACACATACACAGACACCACACACATACCTGTGCATACCACACACATACACACACAATACACACAATACACACACATACACACACATACACATGCTAATACACATACACGGTGCAAGAAGGAAGATGGGGAGGTTAATAGAACTTGCTGCAGGACCTGGGTTCAATTCCCAGCACTCACACTGGGTGACTCACAACTAACTGAAACTCCAGTTCCAGAGCATCTAACCCCCTCTTCTGGTCTTCTTGAGCACCCTACGTACATGGTGTACACACATATATTCAGGTAAACACGCACACAAAATAAAAATGAATCTTTAAAAAATAATAATAGTAATAACAGTAAGAATCTAGAAAGTGGCTAAACATTTGTAGAAATTTGAAAAGTAATCTTGTTAAAAAGTTGCTCTTAGGAAATGCTGGCCATGCAGGAAGCTCACTTTCGGTATGCACGGTCCACTGTGTAACAGTGAGACATTCTAGCTGAGAGTCCTAAGAATGACCAGTATAAGCCAAAACTCTTCTTTAAAAAAAACCTCTCAGATTCCTACATTTGGTCTTAATGCTCTAGGTAACACGAGACTTGAGGGACTGAGCTGTTGGCATGGCATCGGACTCACAGGGGACAAACGTTCTCTTCTTTCATTTGACTCCTGGAGCATGTGTTGGCTCCTCATTCAGAATAGATGCCTCACAGATGTGATCGGTTCAAGTTTTGTGTAACTGAATTAATGCTATGGTTTAAGCATTGATTAATCCGGGAGAGTGGCGCCGTGGTGACTGGAAGCCGGACAGTGAGCAGAATTAACTTCAGGCATAGTCTGGCCCGTGATGTCCTCAGTGAACAGACACAGGGGGAAGCATTGATTTCTTCAGAACAGTCCCCAGTTCTCCGAAAGAGCCTTAGGATTATTAACGCCTCTACCTCACCCTTAGGCAAAGGGAAGCGGTTGGTCTCTTTGTAAAAGCGAGGAAACGAAAACACTGGAAACATGCCTGTGACAGAATGCGCTGGCTCTCGACATGAAATGCTAACCCCAAGGCACACCCTCCCATCTGCATGGGTGAAGGCAGGGGGGCAGGAGTGAGTCTCCACACCAAAGGAAGAAACATTTCTCCACCGTTACAGAGCCTTAACTTGAGTGTAATAAAATCCATCCATTTTAGTATACAGGTTGATAAATGTTAACAATTGCATTCATCTACCCAACCCACAATTATAAACAAGAATACAGCACATTTTCATAACACTACAAAACAACCAGGACCTTCTGCAGTAAGTCTCAGCCCCCAGATCAACCAGCTTCCATCCATCCAGCTTCTGCAGATGTGGCTATGGCTCAGCAGAGACTCTGAGGAGACCGCTTCCCTCCCAGGTTATCCCTGCCTGTCAGTCAATATACATATCCCACCCCCAGAACCATCCACAAGCCCCTTGGACCAGTGAGATGTGGACTCACTTTGTCTAAACTCCCATCCCAACAGCTGACACAAGAGGTGTCTGTGTCTGTGGTAAGAATTCCCTGCCCTCTCCACTATAGCCCAAGTCAGTGCAGGGTGGGGACCCTGTCTTATCCCAGTATCAGCCTTTTGGATGAGGCAGACGGGAGTATTAGATATTTTTAATTGTCTTTACTCTTGCTTTCATATTGTCCTGAGAGTGTGTTTTTAAAGTTATCATTGATTCTTTTTGTTTTGTTTTTTGTTTTTTGAGACAGGGTTTCTCTGTGTAGCCCTGGCTGTCCTGGAACTCGCTCTGTAGACCAGGCTGGCCTCAAAGATTCTTTTTCTTTTCTAAAAAAAAAAAGGTATTTATTTTACTTGTATGAATGTTTTGCTTGCGTGTTTGTCTGTTCACCACATGTGTGCCCGGTGCCTGTGAGGTCAGAAGGGAGCATCAGACCTTCTGGAACTGGAGTTCCTGATGGTTGTGAGCCACCATGTGGGTGCTGGGAACAGAGCTCAGGTCATCTGCAAGAGCAACCATTGCTCTGAGAGGCAGAGCCATCTCTCCTGCCCCTGATTTTCTTGAAGCTACAAAGTTACCAACAGCAACCACTGAAGTTCTGCTCCTAGTGACACTGACAACAAAAACAGATTAAGGAGTTGAGGGAGATGAAAGTGAGGTACACTAGTAAAAATGATTTTTTAGGGGTGTGGTACATACCCCAGCATGCCCGTGATAGCAGAGGACAACAGGCAGGAGTCAGTTCTCTCCTTCCGCCATGTTGGGTCAAGGAATCCAACGCAGGACTAGTGGCACTAGTTACACTCCGAGCCATCTCACTGCCTGGGGTTTTCTATTTCTTCACACACATATGGAATTCCTCTGGGTGTGTGGCACCTTTCAAGGACAGAGGGAAGAAAGGGCTTCCCTGACGATCCTCTGGTGTAGGCTGTTGGGTGACATTGCTTAACCTAGAAATGATGGTTTCCCTGTCACCAAAGCATTAGATGGCAGTGAGCAGACCAGGCATAATGAGAATCAGTCACAGGCCCAGGAAACCAGACAGCACTGTGTACAAATGAAGAAAACGGACTGTGTCCTGAGATGTCAGTTATATTCCCCCAGCTCTGATGATCCCCCACCAGAGAACAGTCAGAAAGTCTGAGGTCTGAGGCCATAGTTCTAACCCTGGGAACGCTTAGTGAGTCCAGAAGTTTGAGACCAGCCAAGGAAATATAGTGAGATGCTTATCATAAAAACCCCCATTCATGGACTTCAGTGGACATCTGTAATCCTAATACTCAAGAGGTAGGAGAGAGAAAATCTGAAGTTCAAAGTTATCCTCAGCTATGTAGGAAGTTCCAGGTTAGTCTGGGCCATAGACTCTGTCTTTTTTTGTTTTTTGTTTTGTTTTTTTGTTTTTTGTTTTTCGAGACAGGGTTTCTCTGTGTAGCCCTAGCTGTCCTGGAACTCACTCTGTAGACCAGGCTGGCCTCGAACTCAGAAATCCACCTGCCTCTGCCTCCCAAGTGCTGGGATTAAAGGCGTGCGCCACCACTGCCTGGCTGACTCTGTCTTAAAAAAAAAAAAAAACCCTCAAAATTCAGAAATTTTTGAGTGCTGACACATTGTCACAGTGGAAAATTCCACATAGTGAAACTGTTTCATGCATGAAACTCTCTAAAATGATGTCTAAAATGGCATCCCTGCCACGTGCATAAGGCGTGCACCAAACACAAATGAATTTCATGTTTAGAATTGGAAAAACATTTCAGTATGCATATGTAAATATTTAAAAATCTTTAACCATTTCTGGTCTCAAGTATTTTGGATAAGATGTTCAGCTTGAAGAAAATATCCAATAAAAGAAAAAAAAAGATATTCAGCTTGTAAACGTATTCAAAACTTTATAAGTTGCAATATGCTTTAAATCTGTGACCAAGTTAAACTTAAGAGAAATACTGAAGATAAGAAAAGTGGGCCCCCTTGATTTGTATTTTTTTAAGCCAAGTCTCACTGTGTAGCGCTGGCTAGCTTGGAGCTTGCTATGTAGACCAGGCTGGCCTCAAACTCGCAGAAGCCTATCTGTCTTTGCCTCTTGAGTGCTTGGATTAAAGAAATGTATATACTATTATGCCAGGCAAGAATATTTTTAAATTCAAATTTAATTTAAAAATAATGTTTTTGATTTAGATATTTAAGCAAAGGAATATTTTAAAGATTTTACTTTATTTGTTTTAGCTTCTCAAGACAAGGTTTTTCTGTGTAGCCCTGGCTGCCCTGGAGTTCGCTTTGTAGACCAGGCTGGCCTCAAACTCAGAGATTCATCTACCTCTGCCTCCCAAATGCTGGGATTAAAGACATGCAACAACAACCAGATGGCAAGATATTTTAAAGTTTTTGATTCCTGTCTGTGTGATTGTTTGTGTGCACAAGAGTGCAAATGAATTTGGGGACCAGAAGAGGGTATCAATCCCCTGGAGCTGGAGTTACAGGCAGTTTTGAGCTGCTGGGAACTGGGATCCTCTGGAAGAAGAGTAACTGTGTTCTTGACAACTGAATCATTTCTCCAGCCTTTCCACACAGCGGTAACTGGACTGGTACTCTTCGTGTGACCCAGACTGGCTTTGAACACACTCCCCTTCTTAGTTGTGATTTGTCTGGCTGGACTTACTGAGCTCTGGGAGTTGAACAGTGTGTGTGTGTGTGTGTGTGTGTGTGTGTGTGTGTTAATAGTGATTCCAGCACTGCAGAGGCAGAATTGAGTGGATCTTTATGAAGTTGAGGACTGCATGATCTACACAGCAAATTCCAGGCCACCCAGAGACACACGGTGATACCCTGTCTTTTTTTTTTTAAAGTGAAAATTAGGGCCATCTAGCATGAGTGGTGACCATATGTGTGTATACAGACTGAAAACAGCTTAGTGTCGGTTGTGTCAAACCCTGAGATCATTCCTTGTCACACATCCCGTGGGCAGAAGGCTTAAATCTTTCAGGAGTATGGATCTTGTCAGGTTATTACTTGAGATGACACAGGTGGTTTCTGTCACCACTCAGTGAGTCACTGCCTAGCTCATGCAGGTGCCCTAAACTCACGGTACACATGCCTGTGTTTACTGCCAAGGAATGGTTCTTCTTCCAGTAAGGAAGAATGATGGAATTTTCCTCCAGGCCAGTGTTCACAGCACTCCTGTCCAGGAACACTAAGGAGTTCGTGCTTAGACCACATGCTTAAGCCATCTGTATTCAGTTCTTACTGTATGTTGACAAGGGATGTTCTCAGGAGGCTGGGTGCCTCTGGTTCTGTGGCTGGCCAGGGTCATAAGAAAACTGCAGTCTGTATTCAAATCCTGTATCCTGCAGAACCCAAGGATCATGCTCCCGGAAGGGCTTCAATGCCTCCTTTCTTTTTCAGGGGATGAACAATCAGTATGTCCGTCGAGAGGTCTTCTGTGGGAACACCTGCCATGAGCTCAAGCGGTTCTGGGAGAGGGAGATCGGCAAGCAGACGTGCTACAGAGAGTCGGAGGAGCATCGCCTAGGAAGGAGTGCGCTGAGGAAGTACGCAGCGCATGTCCGTTTTAACACAGTTTGAAAAGATTTATGTACTTTTTTTTTTTGTGATGTCTATGCAGCATGTGCATGCAGTGCCCTGGAGGCCAGAAGGTGTTGGATCCTCAGGAACTGGAATAATAGACTGTTGTTAGCTGCCATGTGGGTGATCACGACCACCTATAACTCTAGCTCCAGGAGATCCAGCACCTCTGGTGTCACTGAGTATCTGCTCTCTCTCTCTCTCTCTCTCTCGCTCGCTCTCTCTCTCTCTTACACACACACACACACACACACACCCTCACGTGCAGGAATGTGCACATATTATTTGAAATAATAAAAATAAGTCTTAGACTGTAAGATGGAGGTACTGGAGATGGCTCTGAGGCAAGTCTGGGTAACATGAAACTGTTAAAAAAAAAAAAGAAAAGAGGGAAGGAAAGGAAGAAGGATGAAGGGAGGGAGGGAGGAAGGGAGATGGAAGGAAGAAGGAAAAAAGCAGCTACAAAACAGACAGAGGAGAAGATGGCTCATGTGGTAAAACATTTGCCACGCAAGCATAAAACCTGAGTTCGATCCCCAGCCCAAACATTAAAATATTGAGGTACAGCAGTGCCCAGCCACACCCCCTGTGCTGGGGAGATGGAGGCAGGAGGATCACTAGGACCTGCTGGTTAGCCAGTCTAACTGAATTGGCCAGCTCCAGTTTAGTGAGAGATCCCTGTTATCAAAAACTAAAGTAAGGGCTGGAAGGACGGCTCTGAAAGAGAGGGATCCTCTTTCCAGAGAGTCCAGGTTCAATTCCCAGCACCCACATGAGGCTCACAACTATCTGTAATTCCAGTGCCAGGGGACCCAATTCCCTCTTCTGATCTCTGAGACACAAGGCATGTACATGGTACACAGACATGCATGCAAACAAAATATTCATACATATAATTATTTTTTAAATTAAAAATAATGTAGAGCACAACAATATAAGACACTGGACATTGATTTCTGGCCTCTGCGTGCACCCTCATACCTCTCCCCACAAGGCATACGTATGTACACACAGAAAACCCCAGTCAGAAAGTGATTCTGCCCTTTTTCACTCCAGTAAATAAATATGGATGTACATTTGACTTGCAAGTCCTCCATGTACCCCTCCTAAAACCAGAACACTGAACTGTTTCAGGGAGGACGCTTCCCAGCACCTCAGCTGTAGTGATGAGGGCCCCATCTGTGTGCGTTTCTATTTCCAGGCTCAGGGAAGAATGGAAGCAGAGGCTGGAGACAAAGCTGAGGTTGCGGAACAACCCAGATGAGGCTGAGAAGCAGACAAATGTCAGCTGAGAGCTTCCTGCATCCCCGACCAAAGCACTGAGGTCACTCCATTAGAAGTCAGTTAAACCCCACGTCCCTCTGCTTGCACGTCCTGCCCCAACGCCCCGCCCCGTGGCAGTCGTTTGCCAAATCTCCCTCTCTGCATGGATGCCAGGCTATTATTCCCAACGCCTCTGAACGTGAGCTTGTTTAATATCAAGGCCTCGGACACGGTGTTTATTTTCATATCATTTCCCTCTTGTTTGAAAATTCCTGGTCTTGCTTTAAGCATTGCATGGTATTTCTGCTCCACCATTTCACCCAGGAAACATAACTCCGTGAAGTCTTTCCTCGTATTTTCCTTTGAAGAGAAGAGCAATGAGCCCGTCTACAGAAACAGCAGCACCAGTAGTCACTGCACAAGGCTTGCTAAGAACCAGCCTCTGTGTGCATTGAACCGGCTTTCAGAAACCACATCTGTCAATAAAATATGGAGATAATTTAAATAAATCCAGTCATTTGCTAGTCCATGAGCACTCTCTTTGTCGCACGTATTTCACTGAATCTCCATGAGCTTGCACTGGTTAACTTCCAGTCTGTTAGCCCAACCAAGCCGATATCAGGCCACACCAAGGGTGTTTAGCACACAGATGCTGGACTTTGAAATGACGCTGTCACTCTGTCCCTTAGGTCCAGAAGCATAAGTATCACTGCCATTGAGAATGCAATGGTAACAGAGTCTGGGAATTTTTTTGGCACAGAGGAAGAGAGCAGAGAGATTCATAATTGTTATACATGATACCTGTAAGTCTTTAAACACAAGGGTAATTCAACTGGTAAACAGAAAAGTTATTCCCCTGGTCACATATCCATATGTTATTATTATTATTATTTATTACACTTTAAAAATATTTATTTTCATTTAAAATTTTGAGTATGCATCTGTGGTGGGGGGTGCATGCGTGCCTGTGTGGGAGTGTGTGGTGCGTGTATGTATCTGTGGTGGGTGTGCATGTGTATCTGCCAGGGGGTGGCCTGTGTATCTGTTGGGGAAAATGTGTGTGTGTATTTGTGGTGGGATATGCATGTGTGTCTGTGTAGGGTGTGCATGTGTGTGTGCATATGTATCTGTGGGGGGTGAATGTGTGTCTGTGGGGGGTTGTATATGTGTATCTGTGGGGGGTGTATATGTGTATCTGTATGGGGGTGCATGTGTGTCTGTGGAGGTGTGTATATGTGTCTGTGTGTGGGAGTGTGCATGTATGTCGGTCTATAGGGGCATGAATGTGGGTCTGTGTATGAGGTGCATGTGTGTCTGTGTGGGGGTGTGTATGTGTGTGTGGGGGGGCGTGTGAATGTGTATCTGTGTGTGTGGGTACATGTGTATCTGTGTGTGGTTGTGCATGTGTGTCTGTGTGGGAGTGTGCAAGTCTTTGGGACCTGGAGTTACAGGTGGATGTTAGCATCCCTCTGTGGGTGCTGGGAACTAAACTCCTGTCCTCAGCAAGAGCAATATGTTTAGTGCTATATTTCCCGCTGCATTAAACTTGGTATTTTGGAAGGAGCTAATATGGGAGGAGTAAGGAGAGGAAGAGGAGAAGGAAGAGGAGGAGCTGGCGGAGAGAGAAGACAGAGAGAGGGAAAATGGCGGCGTGTCTCTAGCAGTCAAAGGCAGTTGATATATCTAGGTCGGGTATTGGGTTACACCTCTAATTGTGTGGACATCTTGTTATTGAGCACTACCAACTATATAAAGCTACTGGATAATCTTTAAACAATAGAATCTCATTTCTACCAGGTACTTCGTTAATGGTGGGATGGTCTGGGCTCAGCCCAGCCTTGTGGAGACAGCGTGGGAGATTGGCACAACCATCTCAGAAAAGTGACACGTGTGTAAAATGGATTAGTGAAAGAGCTGAGATGCAGTATCAGCTCTAACTTCAAAGCAAATCCTCATTCCAAAACATGGTACTAGTTAATTAACGCCCAGGTATTCCCATTTTCAGTGATTTGTGCTCGGTGGTAACATATTTTAATCAAATACTAAAATCCATGTGTATAAGATGAGTGTTTAGATGCTAAAATCCCACTAATTAAAGAATCTTCAGTGGAGTCTGAATTGAAGAGTTCACGTGTGGGGCTGTGCATGTTTAACTGTTTCAGATGCCGGGAGCCTGCACCAGTTCCCTAGAAAATCCCGTAAGATCCGTTAGGCCTGAAAGTGGAACCTCCCTGGTGGCCTCATGTTTGAAGCGCCTGGTTCTCAGCTGCCAGCCAGGCCTCTTTTGGGAGGGTTTTGAACCTTCGGGCTAGGCATAGCTAGCCAAAGTGGTCCATTTGGGGATGGTGTTGGAGAGAGGTTACACCTGGTTCCAGCCTGAGGGTTGTGCTCCCTCAATGCCCGGATGTGACCAGCCATGCCACAGGGTCCTGCCACTACAGACTGAGCTGCTCCCAACACCTTCTATGAGAGGCTTATCCTCTAAACTGTGAGCAGAAAAGAACCTTCCTTCCCAGAAGCTGTCTGTCAGGAGCTTTGCTTCAGCACACAGAAAAGAAAAACTATGTTAGTAAGAATGTCAGCGGGGGTGGGTGGGGGGTGGGGGCAACATCAAGTTCAACTGCTGTTCCAAATCAAGGAATCCCGTCTTCCTGGTTGACGCCATGTGTCCCTCTGACTCATTTTCCATGTTCTCGCTTACGTTGGATTAATTTAAAAGGTAGGCATATCAGTGGTGTGAAGAGTGTTGAGTTGAACATAACTGAATAGATTAACAAGCTTCCGATAACAGCAATTTTGGTAATTATAAGGGGATAGCAAACTTATGACACCTAATATCAAATTATGGGCTTATTGTTTGTTCCTCTGTTTCTCCAAAAGGGTTTTCTTCCAGAAGCGTTTCCATTCCCAGTCTCAAATCCCAGTGATTCCCCAACACCATCTCATTATCTCAATAAACAATGCTTTATTCACGGTTACTTGGGCTAAAATCTAGCCACTCCAATCTTCTCTCTCTCCTATACTTCTGCCCTATCTAGGCCACTCGAGGCCCTGTGAGTCAGCTTTGGGCTAGCAACATGGCTCAGTGGGTGGAAGGTACTAGCTGTGAGCTCCTGATGACCTGAGCTCAATCCTAGAACTCACAGAGGGAGAAAAGAACTGGCTCCTGAAACTTGTCCTCTGACCACGTGTGCCACGGCAACACAGCTGCCCAATATACATACACGCCACACACATACACACACACACACACACACACACACACACACACACGATATCTATATACAAGAATGATAATAAATGAGTTTCAAATGTCTGCTTCACTTCTTAAGACTGTAAGGCTTAGACTCTAAACGACTATCTCTTGATTCAAACGCTTCCAAAAGCTTAACACTCTTAAATTTATCATCTTCAGGAAGGCTTAGTGGTACACGCCTGTAATCCCAGCACGCAGGAGGTAGAGGCAAGAGGGTCAGTCATTTAAGGACATGCTGACTACATAGAAAGCTCAAGGTCGGCTGGGGATACATAAATTCTGTTTCAGTCTTTTATAAAAGTAATAAAAGTACACCATTAGTCTAAATACTGCTAAAGTTATAAGAAAATTCAGCCTCCTACACTCATAGCCTTCACCACTCATGGAAACACAAATTGGTCCAGTCATTATGAAAAATCCTTTTTTAAAAACCCTAAAAAATAGAGTTATTATACAAACAACTCAATTATACTATTTCAGGGTATAGACCTGAAGGATTCTAAGGCATCATTCATATATACCTGAACATGCATTTATTACAAGACTATTTCCCACACCCAAGTCATGGAAGCAACTGAGGTGTCCATTAACCTATGCATGGACACAGGACATATATATAGATACACAATGGGATTTTATGTAGCCCCAAAGAATAAGATTATGTTGTTTGCAACAAAATAGTTGGGAAGCTGGAGAGATGGCTGAGCAGCTAAGAGCACTGGCTGCTCCTGCAGAGGACCCTGGTTCAGTTCCCAGCACCCACATGGTGACTTACAACCCAAGAAGAGACCCAAGGCCTCTTCTGACATCTGTGGGCACCAGACATGCACATGGTACACAGACATTCCAGGCAAAACAGTCATGCACATGGACTTAAGTAATAATTATTCTTAGTTATGTTGTTTGCTAGAAATATGGATGCAACTGGAGACCATTACATTACTAGGGGAAAACAGACTGAAAGAAGAGAAATATTCTGTGTTTTCTCTCACATGGGAACTTTAGTTTGTATATAGGTACATAAACTCCTATCTTTGTATTTCTCTCTCTCTCTCTGCTCTGTCTTTTCTGCTCTCTCCCTGTCTTTGTCTGTCTGGTCTGTCTGTCTCTCTGTCTCTCTCTGTCTCTGTCTCTCCTTCTATGTTTCTGTCTCTATCTCTCTGTCTGTCTGTCTGTCTGTCTCTGTCTCTCTCTTTGTGTGTGTGTGTGTGTGTGTGTGTGTGTGTGTACGTAACACATAAATGGTTCATTTAAGCTGTAAATAGAGCCCTGGTGGATAAATTAGCCTCTGTCTCAATCCCAGCCCATCAGTGTGGTATCCTCCTCACAGGGATCTGAACAGTCCTAGCTGTTGCTGCTGGAAACCTTGATACCCTGGAGATGAGCCATAGATGCTTCCTTTTGTTTCCTGTGTGCAAAAGTAATTGGATTAGCGTGACTGGTGGATGTGATAGCCAGCTTCTGGAGACATTGAGCAATACATCAGGGAAGAGACATGAAGGGAAGGTCGCAGCTACCTAGTCTTTGTATGGAGAGAGAGAGACAAACTGTGAAGACCATGGGCATGAGAAGCCCACCACATAGGGCTTTGAGGCTGAATATGGGTCACACAGCATCTGGAACAGCCCCTAGGGATGGGAACAGCGATCACGTGATGAGACACAAGGCCGATCTGTTGGGCAAATGAGTGGAAGGTTTGCATACAGCACAGCACTCTGTCTTATGAGAGCTGCCTCCATAATAACCCCATTCAGATCAGGCTGAGGGGCTGAATGACACCACGTGTTTCCTCTCTCTTAGCAGACAGCTAGCTTAGCATCGAGTTAGTCAACATGAAGCAGGCTGCAGTCCAAGGCTAAGCTTTAGAACGTCCTTTTACAAGGTCCCTTCCTGACCAGGAATCTTTCCTAATTCTCCAGACATTTCCATGGAATGGGGGAGGTCACAGAGTGTGGGGCACCTTCCCATGGTGTGTCCACTCCAGCAGTGCCCACCTGAACCCAGAGTCACATGTGCTCAGCCACATTTGTAATTTCCCCTGATAAATATGATTTCTACTCCATGGTGGCTAGCTGTAGTGACAGGGAGCCCATGCCCCAAGTTTGTGATGACTGGCTCCATTCAGACTCTCCAGGAACCCACAGGCTGTCTTGAGGGCAGCTCTCAGACTGAGGCTGATTTACCCAGAGGTTGGAGTAGCTGAGATGCTTAATGGGAGGTGTGTCGTCGGGGAACCACGGTATAAGCAGCGTGGTAAGCGCTAGCAGGAAGGATGAATGGTGAGTTGCAGGGTAAGAACTGGAAACAGAGGAGGGATTGTTTTAATGAGATGCTGTGAGGAAGCCGTGTCCAGTGGGACTTGAGATGGAAGAGATGTGCTTCCCGAGCTAATCTGCATCTTTTGAAGTTACTGATCATACAAACACCCTTGGAATAATTACTTAGAACAAGGGCAGTCAAAGCCTCTACTCAAAACAGATACAAAAACTGAAGGCCAATGGAAAACTGTCTCCCTACAGTTCCTACCCCTTGCTTCTTAACTGTCTTAGTTTGGATTTCTATTGCTGTGAAGAGACACCATGACCTCCGCAACTCTGATGCAAGAAAACAGTTATTTGAGGCTGGCTTACAATTTCAGATGTCTAGTCCATTATCATCATGTCGAGAAGCACGGTGGCAGACTGGCAGACAGGCAGACATGGTGCTGGGGAAAGAGCTAAGAGTTCTACATCCTGATCTGCAGTCAGCATAAGCCACTGTGAGCCACACTGGATGTAGCTTGAGCGTCTGAGAAGGGTAAAGATCCTTGAGAGCATGAAACAGCAGCTCCCAACATCCAAGGCTCTCTTCTCTCCTTCCCTCCAACCTTGGCCTGAGAAGATCATGAGAGGCCTGGATCATGGCAATTCTGTAGTCAGGAAGACCTTGTCCTAGAGAGCAGGTCTGGGAGCAACAGGCCAAGGACCTGGGACAAAGGTAGTGGGACTGCAGTCTTCCCACCAGTGGGCCTTGCTCCCAGGTAGACCTGAACTCAGGGCTACACACATCCAGCGCTTTCTTTGTACTTGGTACCCACACCCAGGCTGCTACCCTGTGGCCTCAGGGAATACAGGTGCAGAGAGCAACCAGCTCCTAGAGATAAAGGAAATGCCCACTGCTCCTGTATAGATGAGATCCTTTTGTGACAACAGATCAAGGGAAGATGTCACCACCTCAGTGAATAGACAGGAGGAGACTCATCCATCCCAGTTACCAGCAACCTCCTTCAGGGGCACTTCAGGATGGACTAGCTGCCTCATACAGCCTTGTCGCTCGGTTTCCCTTTGTTCAGACTGTGACTTCTCTCTCCTCTAGGAGAAGCTACACATTGTACCTACTCCTGGCCCGCTTCTGCCATGGTTCTCTCCATTCAGCCCTGGGTTGAGGGCTCTCTTTTAGAAAACCTGGTCATCGGTGTGAGGAAAGAAATGGCAGGCCAGGCTCCTCCTGCCTTCTTCTCCCGTGAACAGCAGGGCAAAGAATCTGAATATTATTTCCAGTCTCCTCTGCTTTGCCCACCCCTCACCTCTCCTCAGTACCCCAGAAACCAGATCTGATTTCCAGTGAAATTGCACTGGGAGATGGTTTGGAATCCTTGTCATTCTCTTTCCCTGCCCTCTCTCGTTGACTGTATACCACTCTAAGCTAGGAGCAAGGTTCTTGAAGACTCAGAACCTGCCCTTTGCTGGGGAGGACAGAGGAGGATCTTGGCTGTCTTAGTCATTACCTCATCCCCAGGGATTTGATCCACATTTTGCACTAACTCCATCCAATGAAAACCTGAAGCCACAGCTCCCAGACTCTTCCATGTCCCTCCATCTGCACCCTCCCTCCTTTATGAAGATCAATAGCAACGATGTTCAAAGCAGCAGGAACCACTTAACGTGGTACTTGTCTGGGACTAGAGGGACGGATTCTGTGTGACTCCAGGAGGGGCTCAAACAGTCAAGGACAGGAAATTGAGATGCATCAGTAAAGACAAAACACACACATTTGACAGGATGCAGGCAAGGGAAAGGGCAGGGCTAGTGGACCCTAGGGGAGCAGGCATTTGCAGGAAACACTGTGGAATCAGGAAACCTGCAGGACGAAAATGAGACTGTTCTGGGGAGAGCAAGGGCCAGGGGGTAGAGGAAGGGCACCAGGGACTCTAGAACTTCTAATATAGGTGCCAAACTGTCTTAGTTAGAGTTTCCATTACTGTGAAGAGGCACCATGACCAAGACAACGCTTATAAAGGAAAACATTGAGGCTTTTATGGTTTTAGTCCATTATCATGGTGGGAAACTTGGCAGCATGCAGGTGGATATGGTGCTGGAGAAAGAGGTGAGAGTTCTACATTTTAATCCGCAGGTAGCAGAAGCAGACTGTGTTCCACACTGGGCAGGGCTTGAGCATATATGTGACCTTAAAGCCCGCTTCCACAGTGACACACTTCCTCCAACAAGGTCACACCCACTCCAACAAGGCCACACCTCCTAATAGTGCCGCTCTCTATGGTCAAGCTTTCAAACATGAGTCTATGGAGGTCATACCTATTCAAACCATCCCATTTCACTCCCTGGCCCCCCATAGGCTTATAGCCATAACATAATGCAAAAGTGCATTCAGTCCAACTCCAAAATTCCCCATAGCCTACAACAGTCTCAAACTTGTTTAGAAATCCGAAGTTCAAAGTCTGAGATTCATGTTCTCTTAACTATAATCTTAACTATAACTAAATCAAAATAAAAAAAAAACCAGATCACATACTTCTAATATATAATGGCACAGGATATACATTACAGTTCCAAAGTGGATAACGAGGAAATACTGAACCAAAACAAGTCAGGACAGCAGCTGGGCAAGCTCCAAACTCTGCATCTCTGTGTCTGATGTCAGAATGCTTTTCAAATCTCTGACTTCTTTCAGCTTTGTTGACCGCAGCACTCTTCTTTCTGTTGGGCTGGTTCTGCTCCATTAGCAGCTTTCCTCAGCAAGTATCCCACAGCTCTGCCATCTCTAATCTCTTGGAATCTTCAAGGCAATCCAGACTTCAGCTTCACAGCTTCACACAGTGGCTTCTCTGAGCCTCCATGCAGGGACACCCCAGCCTCAGCAACTTTCCTTAGTCACAGAAGGAGATTCCATAAACTCCTTTCTTCTATCCTCGACTCTAAAGCCGGAACCACATGGCTGAAACTTCTGAGTTCTGCTGCTAGCTGGGGCTAGAACGTGGTCCCCTTGTTCAATTACATCTTTGCCAGCTTTCTGTTTTCGATGATTTCCTTCACTGCCTAAGCTTGGCTGTTCTGGAACTTGCTCTGTAGACAAGGTTTGCCTTGAGCTCAGAGATCTGAGTACCTATGTCTCCTTAATGCTGGGATTAAAGGCATGTACCACCAAGCCTGGACCTAAGCTTTTCTTTAATTCCTTTTTATTATAGATCTTTAGAAGCATGGCTACTATGCCTCAAGATCTGCATTAAAGGTTTCTCTCTGTCTCTGTCTCTCTCTCTCTCACACACACACACCCTACCTCTTGGGTACAGCATCCCAGGGTGAGGTCTGGACAGCCCCTTAGGCTACTTGTGAAAACCTTCCCTGAGGAAGCCTGGGCCTGATTTGTAGATGAGCTAATTAAAAGGCCTACCAGGACTGTAGTCACAAACCAAAACTATACCAAGAAAACTCTGCCTTATGAGCAGAGGTGCAGATGGCAATGGTTGCCCTGGAAAGAATCCTTCCAGACACAACACAGCATGTTCAACTTCATCAGGGACACCCAGCAGCTAAAACGGGATGGCAGTGTGGGCTGGCGCCTGTCACTGGAAGCCAGGTGATCCAGGCCCAAACCACGCAAAAACAAACACTAGGGATGTGGATGGCAAAGGCCCATTCTTTGTATATGACACACAGGGACACTATGGAAAAGAAGGCTTTGGCAACGTGTATCAGTGGAAACATCAAGATGCATGCTCAGGTAAGGACCATAGTGCCTGAATATACTGTCACTGAGGCGTGGACATTTTTTGGTGTTCAGGGCTGGGCCAAAACCCAGCACATGACTGACAAATGTGCCCAAAGACCAGATTCACAGTTGGGTGATAAAGGAACACTGGATGCCCAGCCCAACTCTACCTGGCAAACAGACTTTGCAGACCCTTCAACCTCTCTGGAGCGCCCCTGGGCATGGCACACAATACCTACCCTTTAGAGGAACGGCCCAGTTCCCACTTACAGAGTGAGAGCAATCTCCATATTCCCAATGTTACTGCTTCTGAACAGCACTCTGGCCCCTCTAGAAGCTAAGAGTTCCATTGGTGGGCAGCTACCTGGGCGTTTATGAACATTACATGCTCCTAGTCACCCACAGGCAAGAGATGCCATGAAGAGATAAAGTGGGGTGTGGGGGCTTCAAGACGGCTCAACTCAGTAAAGTGCTTCTTGTGTAAGCCTGAGGGCCTGACTTCTACCCCAGGGACCCGCTTTAAACAGCTGGGCATAGAACTGCACAGCTACAGCCACAGACCTGGGGAGGCAGAGACAAGGGAAGCCATTTGGCTTGTTGGTGGGCCAGTCTAGGCAAATCAGTGAGCTCCAGGTTCAAGGACAGACTGCTTCAAGAAAGTAAGGCAGAGAATGATCAAGGGTAACACCTGAGATTAGCTACTGCCTTTGTATGTGCAAACATGCACATGCCAACACACACATGCACACACATAAAGATGAAACGGGTTTATTAAAAATCCTGAATAAATAAGTAGACTGTAGTTGTGGCCATCCACCAGAAAAGTAGGGAGAAATCACACACACACACACACACACACACACACACACACACAATGAGGCAGGATGGGGAAGAAAAAGGCCCAGCGAAGATGTAGGAGGCTAGCAGTGTCTTGGCTCTCAGTCTTGCCTCCTGACTCCAGGTCTACCTTCTGGGAAGCCATGAAGTGAGTGAGACATCTGGCCTGCTGATTCTCTTATTTCTTGGCTATACCTATTGGATCTAGGCAGTTAGGGTACTGATGCTAACAACTATGAACTCTTCAGACTGCCTTCTTGCATGACTCATAGGTCAAAAAACAGCTGTTCTAGGCTGGACAGCTATCACCCATAGAAGAATCCATCTGGGAGAGGCCATCGCTGAGATCCTGCACTGACTGTAGGTGAACTCATCCCCATTGGCCTCCTGAAGCACCAAATGCAGATGGCAGACTAGCACTCACTTCCGCTGTCAGTCAGTTTCCTTCCTGCATGCCCTTTACATGTTGAATTTGTCTGAAGCGTCTGCTATAGCCCTGGCTACTCCTGGAACCCACCAGGGCATTATGGAAATCCTGTGGACTCACAAAGGCCGGAGGCCTAAGTTCAGTTAGTGTTGGGGGCAGGAGGGTGGGTGGCAGGGTTTTGTCACAGCTGAACTGTGTCACAGGCACTTAGGGCTGCTTTTGAGAGAGGAGCCTCCATCAGTTTAACCCTTCCAAGGATCTTCCTAGGGTCACAAGTTTCTGGTAGAACTCGAGCCCAGGTCCTATGTTCGTGATGAAATATTTGGTGGATCTAGCCAGAGAAAGCCTTTTCTTTGCTTTCTCTGGGGTTTGACAGAGTAGGAGAACCACCAGCTCTCTACACAGGGCTCCACATTTTCTGAGAGGCTCTGAAGGTGCCCCTCCCAGAGGCTCCCACAGGCTTAGGCATGTACCTTTCTCAACATCTCCTTCGGCCCTTCCCACACAGGCAGAATTGGTGGGAGGCATACCCAGAGCCAGGAACAGTGACCCAGAACTCAGCACTGTGACCAGACTTACTCATGGTCCTGAGCCAGAGATGTTCATCTGCCTGGGCGCTAGCAAGCCTTGGATATCCGGGCTCTCTCTCCCACAGCGAGGTCAGAAAGTGTCTCGCGTATGTTTGCTGGCAAGCCAGGCCAGGTGAATGACTGCTGGTGTTTACATCCCATGCCTTTGCAAAGGGTAGGGCCAGCCAGAGGCAACTGGGCAGCTAGGCATGGTTTCCTGCCCGAGGTCCTACTGAGTGGCCAGCTCAAGCCTGAATTGCAGCTGAGGAGGAGGAAACAGCTTTCCTCATGAGAAAGAACTGAGCAAACAGAGCCTTCTGCAGCTTGGGACCTTCAGGACAGGAGGAGAGAAAAATGAGATGAACAGTGACGTGAGAATTTCCATTTCAGTCTAAAGAACTGAATGAAGCCAGATCTCAGGGAAGGGCTGCTGTGAACTGGACTGGAAGAATGATGGAGACCATCCATCATTCACCAGGCAACCCAGAGACTGATGGTTACAGAGTAAGGGCTGAGGCTAAGTGGAACCAGGGCTCCTCAACCAAGATGGTGCTAATTCTGGGGAAAGGGTTATCAGAGCCCAGACTAGAGGCCCAAGGAGAGCCACGAGCCCTGGGGTCACACTGCAGCAGCTAGGTGTGTGTCCCCGTAGGAAGCAAAACACCATCTCCTTTGAGACCCATCTCTACAGCCCGCCTCAGTCACGGCAGCGGGGAGCAGGTGGGCAGTGCTTGCTTCACAAAAGTCCACAGCAGGCACTTGGTCCAGAGTGGCTGTGTCACCAGAGTTCTCTAGGGCCCCAGTGGCTAGGCAGGCGGTGCAGCCTCATATCTTCCTTCTGGATGTGCTCATAACAGGACTGAGGAGAGAGAGACAAGGTTGGGGCCTGCTGGTAGATCTGCTCCCAACAGCACACATAGTTCTAGGTTCTGAAAGCCACTGTACCACCTCCCTGTGTAGACACAGCCCCAGTTAGGAACTGCCATCAGCCGCATTCTGCAGGCAAACAGCCTTCCCTCTGCACACTGCTTGGAGCTGCAGCCTGAAGGGCTCTGAGGCTCACCTGCCCTGTGACAAGCACCAGCCCTGTGAGGACCTTTCCGTGGAGACACACAAGGCGAGGATTTGAGCTCTTTCCACCGTGGTGTCTGGAGCAGGAAAGGAATTTCCTTGGGCTCTTAGCCCTGGTCCCTCACCTCTAAAGTTGTGAGCAGAAAGTCATGGAGGCCACCTGTGTGGATGGGGTCCATCATGTCACGGATCAGGTGGATCTCAGCTCCCAGATGCTGAATTCTAGAGAAAGTATCATGGCAACACAGGAGATAAGAAGGGGGAGGACATAGACAGACACCCCACAGCTGGGGGACCAGGCCCCCGCCTTGAGAGCTAGATAGCTCTTAAATGGTCCCAGCTGTGTCACAGGTTCCCAGGAGACTGGCTCCTTTCTGGGCTTCGATGCCCCCTCTTTCCTGTGTTTGGTGTAGGCAGCATGGGAAGGGGTCCCCAGTCCCCACTTACCGAGCTCGAGACACCACGTAGACAAGCAGTGGCAATAGGTCATCCATGGGCAGTTTGTATTCAGGCCCCAGCACCCGTTTCATTGTGGCCTCAATTTCTCTATAGGTCTTCTCAAGTGTCTCCAGCTTCTCCTGAGGGTGCACTGTAGTGCTGTAAGCAGGGTGCAACACCTGGTCAAGGCCTCAGGGCTCAGTCTTGGGAGGAGGAAGAGGAGGGACAGCAAGCGCGCAAGCTCGTGCACACATACACACATGTTCGCACACACACATACGTGCACACACACACACACACATGCACACACACACACACCATGCCCTTCCATGTGTTCCCACTAGGGCAGACACTCACATGATCTTCTGCAGACACTCAGTAGCTGACAGGAAACACTTGTCCCGGACAAGAGAGTATCTCTGTGAGGGTGAGGAGCAAGCAGAGATTCAGCTTGACATGCTCTGGTCCTCAGGGTCCCTTGCCACTCACACCCACACTATCACTGGCTTAATTACATCCCAGCCCTGGTGGCTACGTGACCCAGAACAATCCCACAGCTCCACTGTGAGCTTCATGGAGGAACTAGGCTCCAAGGGGTTCAGAGGACCAAGAGGGACAGATCATTTGGTGACACTCAATTCCAAAACCTGGTATCAATGTTCTCCAGACTTAAGGGCTTGTTGAAACCCAGGTACCTGAGTTGACTTCTTGCTTTCTGACTCTACAGTTATATGGTAAGACTGTGGATGGGTTAGGGTTAGGGTTAATGGCCTCAGTGGTAGAATTTTTGCCTAGCATTGCAAAAGCTGTGGGGGCCAAGAATCTGTCTTCTTAGGAGGATCCAGATACTCCTGAGACAGTGGGTGGACTCATGTGCCCTTGACCATGGCTGTCTGATATGGCTCTTTTTACACAGGAGAAAACTGAGACTCAGAGCTCAGGTATCCAACCCACTGCCACAGCCAGGAGAAGAGCAGAGCCTGCTGTTGAGCCTGGTCACATGGGAACCACTTGAGACAGAAAGGAAGCCTGGAGTCTCTCCTCCTTTTTTGGCCTCTCATCAGAAGTTCCAGGACCACAGGCCCCTCCTCCTTCTAGGACCACAGGCCCCTCCTCCTCCCAGGACCACAGGCCCCCTCCTCCTTTTAGGACCACAGGCCCCTCCTCCTCCCAGGACCACAGGCCCCTCCTCCTCCCTGCCCACAGGCCCCTCCTCCACCCCATCCACAGGCCCCTCCTCCTTCTAGGACCACAGGCCCCTCCTCCTCCCAGGACCACAGGCCCCTCCTCCTCCCTGCCCACAGGCCCCTCCTCCTTTTAGGACCACAGGCCCTTCCTCCTCCCAGGACCACAGGCCCCTCTTCCTCCCCGGTCCACAGGCCCCTCTTCCTCCCAGGACCACAGGCCCTTCCTCCTAGGCAAGCGGAAGACAGCCCGCTCACCTGATTGCTTGTCAGCTTGAGGTCCTTGAGTGGCCACAGATGCCTGAAATTGGAGACATGAGGTAGGATGCTTTGCTAGTCTGAGCTCAGACCTGTTTTTGTGTCCCCTAGGAAGCACTAAGCATGAGCAAGGGCAAAGGAATGGGGTCACTGTGGCATTCTCGGGTGTACACACACAGCCCGAGGCCAGGGTCCTGGAGGAATCGGTCTTCCACTGCTGTGTGACAAAGGAACACTGGGCTCTGAAGGATAGGCCCTCAGAATGCTGAGATCCCGGCAGGGGACAATCAAGCACTTGTGACATGCATGCTCTGGTCAGAGGGGCACTAAGGAAGAAGGATGTATTAGAGGCAGTGGGGTGGAGGAGGACTGAGGAGGCACTAGGTTATGGCAAACACCTGTCTGACCTGCTCCCAGAGCAGCCCTCGGTTTCCCTTTTAAGATTCCCCCACTCAAGCCGGGCAGTTGTGGTGCACGCCTTTAATCCCAGCACTTGGGAGGCAGAGGCAGGTGGATTTCTGAGTTCGAGGCTAGCCTGGTCTACAGAGTGAGTTCCAGGACAGCCAGGGCTACACAGAGAAACCCTGTCTCGAAAAACCAAAAAAAAAAAAAAAAAAAAAAAAAAAAAAAAAAAAAAAAAAAAAAAGATTCCCCCACTCTCAGTCCAAGCCCAATGGTGGATCTGGAAGAAGGCCCAGTAAACGCTGGCCAGCATCTGGGTAGAACACCAAGCACTGTGGGAACTAAGAAATAGGAAAGGCCAGCTCTCTCTGGGGAACAGTGGAAGAACTGAGCCACAAGGCAATAAATCTGGAGTGGTTGGTGCGGAGCTCTGGCAAAGTCAGAGGGAAAAACAAAGGTGTTTTCCTTGGTGGCATGGTTGAGCACCCAGACCCAGCCACGTCCCCAGGGCTCTGTGGCATCTGTATAAATGAGCACGCCTCACAGCTGAGGTTGAGTAGAACTGTCGCCTCCCCTAGAGCCCTTGGCTGAGCAGGCGGGGCAAGCTCACTCCTGCACATCCAGGAACTCCAGCAGCTTGGTATCCGGTAACAGGCTGAGGTTGGTGATGCCCCGGCTGTACAGTCCGTCCTCTCTCTCATGGAGAAGCAGGTACAGTGTGAAGAGCTCTGAGTAGAAGCTGGGCAGGATGAGAGGCAACAGCAGCCCGTGTACCTGTAGGTTCCTGAGAGGCCAGAATGGGTGGGAGACGCTGCTGTCAGGGCCACTGCTGCACCAGCAGAACTTGAGTTTGTCCCGGGGGACAGCTGACTCCTGTTCTGTGTGGCTTAGGCCCATGTCTCCCACACCTCAGTCTCAAGGTGCACAGGAAGGAGGAGGCCTCTGGCAACTGCTTCCCCCTCTGGGCAACTCAAGCATGAGGCCTTGAGGGCACATTTAGAACAAAGATGTATCTCATGCACGGTGGCACTGCTCCTGGGTAGGACCAAGGTCATATCACTGTGTTGTATAAATGGTCAACGCACCACAATTGGTGGATAGCATACACGCCCAGTGCTTTCCTAAGAAGCGTTGCCACCCAGAGGGAGCCCCCAGGTACAAAAGCCTTGCCAGGTACCTTGTCTCCGTGTTCTCCTCCTCCAGGGACTGGCCCTGGTGCCGTAAGGCAACCTTCAGCAAACCCCTGCCAGCCAATGAGAAGGGTGTGATGTGCTTGCTGCCCACAGAAACGGGACTCCACCCTTCCAGCCTCCAAAAGCAAGGGCAGATGGTCCCATCTCCCACTGGCTGGCTAGATCGGGACTGAATGCTTGCAGAGTCTAGCCTTTCCTGCCCCTGGGGATCCAAGGCTGGAACTGTAGTGAGTGCTGGCACTCTGGTGGCAGCTGGAGCACCTATCTGTAATGTTCATGGGATCTAGGTTCTATCTGGGACAGAATAGATGGACCTTGAAATCCAGGGTCACACTCAGCCTACTGCAGAGGTAGAGTTTCTACAGGGCCAGGGTTGTGCCAGGGACCAGACAGGGATTGGCCCCTGGCCAGGAGCTATCTTTTGGAGGCCTCTGCTGTCATCTCTTATATGTCTGGCCACCATTGACACACTGACTAACCTTGGACCCGGTACCAAACAAGATTGGAGTGAGAGCCATCGGATAGAGCTGAGCCTTGGAAAGGGCAATCCTGGGCCAGTCCCTAGGCGGTGGGCATCACCCTGTGCACAGGCTCACCTGTAGGCAGCCCAAAGCTCCCGGGCATGTTGCTTCACCTCCTCCTGGGCCATCTCCTGCAGGTGTTTGTTGGCCCCTATGCCTGAATATGTGGCCTGGAAGGTCAGCATCAGGGTGTGGAGCAACTTCCCCAGGGGGTGTTGGGAATTGCTCAGAGCCTGGACCCATGAGAGACAACATGGATGCTTAGAGCCAGGGTCTGGAACATAGTAAGCCCAGACCAGCCTCCCGGACAGGTACACCAAGGCTTTCTGAGAACCAAGAGCACCAAAGGCCTTTCCCCACCAGTTAGCACCATGCTGTGAGATGTAGGAGGCCTCCCCAAGCCTGGGCCCTCACCTTCCCGAGGTACTGCTGCAGGGCCTTTGGCTCGCGGTGCTGCAGCAGCTCCTTCAGGATATCTTCCATGCTGCCCACACAGTCCTTGGGGTCACTCCTGGAGCACCATGCACAGTGTCCCTCGTGCACCCCTGAGTCAGTACCCATCCCCAGGAGCTTCCCTGACCCCCTCTGACCTGCAGGGACATCTAGAGGCCATGCTCACCTCTCATCACACAGGTACTCCTGGGATTTGCGTAGCTCCCTGGAGCTCTGCACATGGAAGCCCAGGAGGGCTTCCTGCAGTTCCCCAGGACAGCCTAAACGTACGAAGTCCCGGAAGGGGCTGTAGACTCCCTGCCAGCGGCTCTCCACAGGGAAGGCACCCAGTCCCAGCTGTCTGCGATTGGGAACAGCGAGAGATGCAGAAGATGGAGCCAGAGCCGGCAAACCCTTGAGGCAGCACTAAGAGGGTTAGTGGGACCAGCCTGGCCCCAGAAATGGGGCAGGATGGAGAATGCACACAGTTGACCTCCAAGGTGAGTAGAGGAGGAGACAAGGCAGAGAGAGGGGCATTGTGTTCTGAGATGGAGAAGAGACAGGTACACAGTTCTGCAAAGGGCCTGAAGCACTGGAGGCCAAATCCAGATGGTAGGTCTTGGATCAAGATAGACCAGTACCCAGAAGTCCAGGATTTCCTTGCTTTTCCCTCTCCCATAGACTGCCCTCTCCCATAGGCTCCCTGTGGTGGATCCTGCCTTGCCAATAGGCTGAGTGAGATCGACTGTACGTCTCACAAAGAAAACCGTATCCTGCTGTCACCTCACAGGTATCCCACGCCTGCACCCCACCAGCCTGGGGCAGACCTCTCCAGGGCCACTCTCCTCTCCCAGCTCCTGTTGTCAGAGAAAAGGAGCATGCAGGGACAGTAGGTGGATGAGTCCTCTGTACCCCTCTACAACCTCTGAAATGCCACAGGGGACCATTTTCTGTAATTCCCCCTTCTATCCACCCAGATTCTCCACAAGTATGGCAAGGGCTATTCACCCGAACTGAGTTTTCAAAAGGGGTGTTCTGTTCTTACAGGAAAATAATCTGTTTCACAAATACCCAGTTTCTTTTCTCTTTCTTCTTCTTCTTCTTGGCTACCAGGGAGCTCAGAGCTAGACCAAGGGACACTATAACTATCTATAACTATGTGTCTAAAAAAAAAAAAAAAAAGAAAAAAGAAAAAAACCCTAAAACCAGGGTCAAAGTGAGACTCACAAATCCTATTTTTCTTCCAGTATGTATATGGCAGCATATCCACCTAGCCCTAGAATTCAATAGCCTCTGGCTAGAACTCTGGTAATAAGGCCTCCGCAGAGTTCCGAGGCCTTGGACGGGAAGAGACACAACACACACTGCCAACTAGGTTGTGCTCTCACCTCTTTCGTGTACTGCTTGGGTTGGGCGGGAGGGCAGCCATGTCCAGCACTCCCTGTGTATACAGTCCTTTATCTGTCCCACTGCTGAAAGAACCATCCAAGGTAAAGCCATTGGAGAAGGTGACCTTGCCCTGAGGGCAGAGAGGAGAGAAGAAATGTCTGTGTGCCCAGCCAGGCAAGTGTGTCAGTGCTGGCTGGCCTGCTTGGGTGGGTCAGATGGAAACATCTGACCACGTGTTCCACCTGTCCATTCAAGGTGCTAGAATATTCTAGAAGTCTCACCCACCTCTGGTGTGAGGCTAGGTGGCTTGGTCCAGGGATCTAGAGGAGGCAATTCCTTGCTGTGTGGAGTTGCTAAATTCATAGCACTCTTGAGCACTCATCAGGCACCAGACCTGCCTGTCTTTCTACATCCAAACTTAGCCTCAGATTTCCAAAGGCCCAGCATGAACACAGCTACCTTTTGCTATGTCAACTCTGGCAGGGACATAGAAAGAATGGTGACCTTGGGGACAGCTGTCCAAGACTCTGGTGTGGATGGTACTACAAGAGCACAGCACATATACAAGCAGACTGTGTCCTCTGGGCAAGAGGCAAATCCTCTAGTCCCTTGTCATCTTGCTTTGTCAAGTTAGTACTGCATACCGCATGGCAAGGACACAGAGGCCCTTGGACAGCATGGAGGTGGTGGGGGGTATCCTTCAGCTGCCTATCCTCTACCTTCAGCCTTTGGCTTTGAACTCTGCACTTATGGGGTGGGGTGAGAAGTGGACACCCTCTCACCTTTCCTAGGAGTGTCAGCTCTCTGGTGAAAGTACCTTCGTACAGAGAGTCATCCTCACATAGCAGGATGCCTGGGCCCTGGAAAGGAAAGAAGAGAACAGAGGAGAGGGAGGTGAGAAGACCAGGGTGGGTAGACACTGACCCACAGGGCCAAGAACCCCCAAGCCCTGGCCCTGTTCTCCCCAGAAGTGTTACATCCCGTGAACCCCACCCCTTGTTTTCCCTAGTTAGCCCTCCTCAGCAGCCTCTTCAGGAAGCCCCTGAATACTCAGGAAGTGCTGGCTTCCTTCCAGCTGTCCCTGCTTCCCTGCCACTGCCCTGGGTCTTCAGGGCCAATCAAGTTCCCTTATGACCGACCGCACCTGCCAGGAAGCACACTGACAAGTTCATGTTCAACTTGTTCCTGACTCTGTGCTGTGGAACTATGCTTGCCTTTCCTTCCTCTTTTCTTTCAGGTCTCCTTTGGTTCTTTCCAGAACAAAGTGGAGTCTAAACAAACAAGCTGTAAAACAGGTACAGCTGTTACCCAGAGTCAGCTAGAGAGGCAGAAGGCAAGAGGTGGAGGCCCAGGCTAGGGAGGGTTGGGTTGTGACTGTGATGTTGGACAGGTTCTCTGATGTCTGCCAGCAACAAGCAGGTGTCACTCATGTGCTAAGGACAATGTCATCACTGCAGGAGTCACTCGGGACTCCAGAAGATGGTGAAGGTTCAGCCAGGGCCAGCGAGGGGTCCATGAATGCCACTGGCTGTCCTATGGCACATTTGGCTCTCGCTGGCTCATGTGTGTCCAATGAGCATCCTTGACTTGAGTTGCAAAAGGGGGATGCAAGGCTAGAGGAAGCCCAGACCGTGCAAAAGTCAGTGTAGATGGTGGCAGAGCTGGACACTCCTTGTCATCCACCCGGCTTGGCTTTAATTCACCTACAGATTGTCCAAGGCAGGGGCTACTACTCACAGCCATCTTGTCCCCTTGAAATGTGCCCTGATAGCAGTCGCCTGCCTGGGTGACCACGACACCTGGGCCGTGACGCTGGTCAGCCTGCCACATGCCAATGTAGCGCTCACCCCTAAGGGAAGAGGGAGTGTGAGAGAGGAGGCTCAGAATGGTTCCCTTGTGCCTTCTGGATGCTCTGCTGGCAGGGGATGAGGGAGAGACAGATGGCGTTACAAAACGAAGCCCAAGGAGAACAGAAGATGGCAGAGAAGGGAGTCATCCTTAGGGGAAGGCATGCTGGGTGGCGCCCCCTAGAGGTAGCAGGAAGCATAGACGGAGGGAAACGCCATGGAGACAGGTGTCCAGGACAGACCAAGACAAAAAAGCTGTGGGGTGCACAGGGGACAGAGAGAGACCATGGCTTGAGCCAGCTGGACCTCTGGCTTCTCTCTACCAGCACTCACCTGTCCCTGTCCTCCTCGATGCCGTAGCCACTTCTCTGGCCTCTCTCCCAGTGGCCCGTGTACCTGAAGGTCTGGGGGGCCTGTGGAGCACTGTCGAGGATGCCGAATCCGTGCCGCAGACCGGCCTGAAAATAGCCCTTGTACACCTGGTCAGTGCCATACCTGGAGAGATTCACCAACAGCTGGTTCCACCTCAAGGAGCTCAGTCCAGAGGACACGCCCCCCTTTCTCCTGCAGGCCGAAGGTCACTTACTCACAGATGCCGTAGTCGCACATCCTGCCTTCCCGCCAGTGGCACTTGTAACAGTCAAACTTGTCCTCAGAGGCCTGGGGCACCAGGCAGATGCCAAAGCTGACCATGTGGTTGGGTGAGGTTGGAAGTGAGTATCGGGACACTGGCCTGATCAGATGCTCCTGTCACGTCCCTCCATGTTACCCAGTTGTCCTTGTCTCCAAGGAGTCCCCCGATAGATCTCAGCGTCCCCTATTCCCTTACAAAAGGCCCTGGGGACACCCCTCCCCCACCACGGGAAGGAAGACTGAGACCCACGCTCCTATCCCCCCAGGTTCCCCTTCTGTATCTATGTAGTGAGAGGAACTGAGGCATCTGACCACCCCTGTGTGAGGCTTGGGAATTTGGGGAAGCCACTGGGTAACACCTTCTCTGGTTGCCTCACATGCCAGCACCTGCCCAGCCAGCCTTACCCATGCTCCAGGCCCTGGCAGAAATCCCCCACATGGTTCCGCCCATCTGGCCACTTCAGGGTTCCCCTGGAACATGGGAGATCCACAACATCAGGCCACCAGACTCATTCCCAGACAGCTGCATCCCCAGAACCCTCAAAGTCCCTCCCTTCCTCTACTCTAGCTTCTTCCAACTAGACTTTCTCTCACCTAGTCCTCACGTGAGCACTCAGACACCTCACAGAAAGTGCCTCCATCTCCTGGCACAGCTGCACAAGCAGCTTTGTGGGGCACTGGGGTACCCACGACACTTCCCTTGGGGAGAGCCCTGGAAACATTTACGTTCTCCTTTCCCCTTGAACCACAGGAGTTGCAGAATGCAACGTCAAGCTTGAGAAAACCTCTAGTCAATGGGATTTCTAGCAAGCTCCTTCTTTCTGATGACCTGCTGGGTGGAGCCCCCTAAAGGTAGCAGGAAGCATAGACGGAGGGAAACGTCATGGAGACAGGTGCTTAGCCCACAGCAAAGGTGACTCACTTGCCATGGGGCTTGGCCTGACGCCACTCGCCTTCATAGGTAGCCTGGTAGAGCCGGCCCTCACGGTGGAAAGTATAGGCCACACAGCGACACTCAGGAGGCATAGATGGCTCCTGGTCTGATCCCAGCACAGGGAAGTCCTTCTTGCCACATAGGGCTTGGGACACAGCCTGGGTCATCTTCCGCTGCCAGGCAATCTGGTGGGAATAGGAAAGCAGGGAACATGTCATTGCTGCTGCAGGTATGCCCTAAAGAGGTCTCACAGGGCACCTAGTCCCTTCCCTTCAACTCTGTCCTCAGGCACACTGCCCTCCTATGGCATGGCAGCAGACCTGAGATCCTTTGAGCAGTCCAGAGACTAGACAACCCAGAAGGGTGTGCAATGGTAGGAGCAGGCCTTCACTCCAACCTAATGATGGGAAAATTCCGGTCCTTCTAACATCCCGATACCCAAGCCTAGGCACACCCCTGATTTGCTTCTGAGCCTGTAGGATTGGCACTCCGCCCTCCCTGGCTTCTGACTTGCCCCCCCTCCACTATTCACACATTCACCTGGCCTTTGGGGTTACTGGCGACAAAGGAGAACTCTTCTTCAGGTGTGAGGATGTGAAGCACACACCTAGGCAGACAGAGGTGACCAGTAAGCCCATTTCTGTCCAGGGTTGGAAGTGGGGCTCACATGGGAGCCTGGAGATGTGAGGGGATTTCATAGGGCACAGGGAGGGAAGTCCAGGCACCTGAAGAGAAGTCACTCACTTGTCTTGGCCAGGATCCACCCACACCAACTTCAGGTCAAAAGTGTGGACACTGTGGTCCTGGAAGAAGACAGGGACAGACAGGTGTTGTCCAGAGCTGCGTCTGCAGAGTCACTTGCCCTGAAGCCCCCCAGATGTGAAGCCTAGAGCATGGTCCTCCCACAGTGGCCTGTTCCCCTTTAGCTGCAGCTCCTTCTTTTTGTTCTCACCCTGGGACCTAGACAGGCCTCCCCCCGCCCCGTGTAGGTTGCCAGGGTTTTCTAGAAACACAGTTGGCCCCTGACAGCTTCTACTGCAAACTTCTAAGGCTCTTCTTGCCCGAGGCCGGAGGCCCACCGCAGAGCCTGACACAGGCAGGTTCACGAACCTGCCTTCACATTCTCCTTGCTGTGAGCATCTGCTGCTCAGCCATCACGCCCTCCTGAGCTTGCCCGAAGCATCCTTACTCCACCTTTGCTCATGTTTCTCCTTCCCTCCCTCTTCCCCTTCCCTCTCCCCTTCCCTCCCTCTCTTCTTCCCTCTCCCCCCTGCCTCCTTCCCCCTGTCTCCTTCCCTCCTCCCTGCCTCCCTTCCTCCCCCCTCCCTCCCTCTCTCCCTCAAGTTGTTTTGTCAGGCATTTTGTAGCAGCAACAAGAAAAGGGATTCAGACAAGCAGGGAAGGGCTAGAAACATCTCTAGTAGACAAACTGCAACCACAGGAGACTGGGTTACAGACACAATCAGAACAAACCCCAAGCCAGGTTGCCATGCTGAGGCAGGGGAGACAGTGCTGTGAGCACCGCAAGCGACAGGTGAGTTTGGCCAAGGTTACTGGCTACAGTAGGACAAACCCTGAAGCCTAGTATGGCTTCCTCTTGACCTGCAATCCTTGGCCTGTATCCCAGCATTTGGCTTCAGCCTCAGTTCTGATCCTTTCCTGTTCAGTTTCTACTCTGACCCCAGAACCCCCACTTCACGTTATCCGCTCCTAACCTGTAACAGGACAAGGGCATCATCAAAGAGCAGCACGCGCTCAGCCTGCAGTGAGGTGACCACCACAGGGATGTCCTGGCTATCCTGTAAGAGTCGGCGAGTAGGGGTACAGAGCACATCCTGGTGGGATAAAGAGGGAGACAAGAAGTTCAGTGCTTATACTGGAGGCTGCTAGTCACACTGCACCTCCCCCCTGTACCCCAGACACCTCCCAGAGACCATTCCAGCATGCCTGGAGTATCACCCAGGTCTCTGTCTCTGTGTCTGTCTGTCTGTCTATCTGTCTGTCTCTCTCTCACACACACACACACACACACACACACACACACACACAAACATAGGCATGCACTGATGCTTCAAGATGCAGGGGGCGTGGTCACCTTTGATCCAGCCCAGAAGATCATCTCAGTTTCACTCTCTGTTCTTTCCTAGGCAGTCTCCATACTGCCCCCATCACAGCCAGCAGGTTCCTGATACCCTCACCCTGTATGCTATGCCCTCTGTCACCCATGGTTATTTTGGCCTGCTCTACTCCTGGCCCAAGCTTGCCATGTCTTCTGGGGACTCTCCTTCATGCAGGGACATTGTATGCTGTGCTAGACAATGACAGGCATGTGTAATTGGTGGCACCACCAGAAAAGTCAGTTCTGTTGACCTAGCAGATAGCTAAGGGTGACTGACAGCCACCAGGCTACCAGTCCTCCTTCCCGATGGGGAAACTAAGGCATAGAGCAGCTCGAACCACCCAGCACAGACTCATATCCAATATGGAACAACTCCCTTTCTTGACTGTCCCAAAGCCCCAGACTCACCCTCAGCCGGCTGCTGAGGCTGTGCCACAGGGCCTGTGTGGCCACAGCTTGGCCCAAGGCCTGCTTCATGAAGTACTCAAGGTTTCTAAACAGGGTAACTGCACACATCACCAGTTTCTGGGCTGGGTGGTTCTGTGGGAGGACAGGGAAGGAGGGAAGGATCTGACGGACTTGGAACCAGCCCCCGTCCCAACGATGGTCATGAGGACCCCAGCCTAATGTTAGCCAGTCAGGCCTAAATGTAAGCCACAGCTCAGCTCACTCTCTTCTCCCTGACAACTCCTCTGGAGACAGGAAGGGAGCATGAAGGCGTTTCCAAATAGATATGTCAATGACACCATAGTGTGGTCCTGGGCCATATGTCCTCACACTGAGTAGAGAATTCTATGTCTGTTCTTTGGGTGTCAAGTGTCCCATCTAGGGAGAGCCATGTGCCCAAGATTCCCTAGGGCAGATTCATGTCCCTAGAACCCCTCCCCAGGGAAGGTCTATGTTCTTTCAGGGGCCCCTTCCTACAGCTTATCTTGGTCCCCTGAGCCTGAGCCCTGCTTCTCTTCTTCCCCACACCCCCATCCCTGGATTGCTTTTGGTACCCACCTCATCAAGGGTGTCCCTGAGGCTCAGCAGGAGGCGCATGTATTGCTGCACATGGTGGACGAATGGCTGGTAGAGGTCCTTGCACAGCGTGGTGCCCTCCAAGCCCTCAGAGATCCCAGAGGACCGCTGCCAAAGTGCCTTGCGCTGACTCCTCCAGAAGAGAGAAAGAGCCACACACTACCTTCCCCGTTCCAAGCCCACATCCACCTGTACCACCCCCATTGTAATTACTCTTCCAGCTCCCAGACCCACGACACCAACCCTGGACCCCATTAACCCAGCAAAACGCTGAGCTCTCCTCCTGGGAGCTTTGCACCCTCACCTCAGAGGAGAGAGGGACAGTAACTGAAGACACTCAAGTGGTGGGTGGACAAGACGCCTGCTGCTTTGGGATGGGCTTCCCCAACTCCGCCCTCCCCCTCGAGACACTCACTCCCACATAGGGGCTACTGTGGCAGCTCCAAGCTCACCTCCTCTTCTTTGAGACCTTCTGAAAGGCTTGCACCGCCACGCAGTCAGTGTAAGACTTGGTGTACCTATGAGTAACCCAGGATCACCTTGAAAGCCCAGCTCCCAATGCACACTCAGCCCCTGCCCTCTTAGGGGTCCCAGATCCCACCCACTGAGCAGCCAGAATCCTGATGGTCCAGGCAATTGCTTGACACCCTCGAGCTGTGACCCAACAGTTGTATCTCATAGGCCTGGTCCAGGTCTGAGCCTATAAGCCTGCTGCTAAGCCAATACCCTAGCCCATAGGAGACCCACTCCAGCAGAGGTGGCATTTTGGCACTGTGGCCAAACAACAGACTGCATGGGGTGGGGGAGGGGGCATCTTACTCCACGTAGGCTTGTAGGACACGGTCAGTATTGCTCAGTAACAGTACGGCCTCCAGACCCGTGGAACGTTGGCAGCATGACCTCTGCCGCAGCGAAAGCAGGCTCTGCTCGGTCACTTCCCACAACCGCCGGGCATTCTCATGTAGCTGCTGCAGAAGCCGAAGGCACTCTTTGCCACAGGGATCTGAGGGTTCTGGGTCTGTAGAAAGCAGAGCCACCTTGAACTGGCATTGATGGATGGTCCTGTAGCTCTGGGTTACTCAGGACTGTATTAGTACCCTCACAGAGCTCCTCGGGGACAGAGTATGCTGGGGTCAAAGGCTGAACCGGGAGTAATTAGGGTTGTATGTGTGCCTCCTACTTAATGGCCCTAATCATTTCGGGGAACCAAGACTCCCAGCTCCCCTGAGTCTCTGCCTCTTCTCTTTAGACCCAGATGCAGAATGGGGAGTCTTCAAGGTACTCCCAGCCACCTTAGAGACACACAGACAGGCTGTGAGAGAGGAAAGCACCTGCCCAAGGTCACGTTCCAAGGGAGACCCCTTATGTGTCCTACCTTCTAATCAGTGCTCTCCAAAGCATCCCAAGGAGCTCTGCATGGGAACAGGGAGTGAGGCAAGTGCTATATGCAGGCCTCTGGTCCTCTGCAGCCATTTGGGAAGGCAACAGCCAAGACCTGGTGTCCAAAGCCTCAGCTCCATCAAAAGACAGCAGTGTCAAGTGCCAGCACTTCCACTTGAGTTTGAGAAGGCTGTCTCAGAATGTCTTACAGGGGAGACATCAGATCCCTGGGGACCCCTCCTGTGTTCTCCCACTTCCCCACCGAGGCTTACACTCACCAGCTAAGACCAGGGGCTGCAGGATGGAATGGATGGTTTGAATAAAGGTGGTTGAGAAGATCTCCTCCAGCCGGAGCAGGGCTGCCTCCATAGGGCTACACATAGCCAGGGTGCGAGACACTCTGCCTACTGGGTAGGAAGGACACAGGTCACAGCCCAGAGAACATGGCAGGGCTGAAAATATCCTCCCCAGTTCCCAGAGGTAAGACCCATAACCACCTACATCAGAGCCAATTGGTGAGCCTAGCTTCTCACAGAGAGGAGAGATCTATTCTGGCTACTGACCCTGCCCTGCTCCCTGATGGGGCCCTGGAGGGAATAAAAGAGCAGAAAACTATCAAGGGAAGCATCCCTTCCCTTCTGAAAGTATGTGTTCTTCAAGCTCTGTTTTGGCCTGCTCAGACACTTCATGAATCCAGGTACCCAGGGGGATAACTACCTAACCGTTCTTTGTCCTGGACATCTTTCCACTGAATGTCCCCACTCAGGGACTCTGTGATCTTTGGGGCAGGGACATGCATGCTATCAGAAGAGCTCAACAATACTCCAGGCTCAGGGTCCTTGTCACTAAATAGAGCTCAGTAAGCCAGGAGGGGTCTGATACAACAGCAGTCTGGAGGCCTCCTGCTGAAGCCACAGGGAAGACGAGAGAACAGTACAGCATAATGGGGGCACACTCAGCACTGGGGAGGCGGAGGCGGCAGGATTTTACTATAGACTCGAGGGCAGCCTGGGCTAAGACTGTGACCTTGTCAGAAGGGAAGGGGGAAAGAGAAGGAGTGAGAGGGAAGGAAAGAGGGAGGGAAGAAGGGAGGAAAAGGAGCAGGGAGAAGACAGCATAGTAGCAGGGAGAAGTAAAAGCAAAGGCTCGTTGGAGTGCCTGCCCGGCCTGAGAGGATGGCCCCACCTTCATTGGCCAGCAGACAAGCTTGACTTTGCTTCAGTCAACCCTGAATATCATGAGAGCAGAACAAGACAATAGCAGATCAAATGTCAGACTCAGCAAGACAAACCTGGTGACAGGTGACAGACAGGGCCAGGCAATGAGAAAACTCAGCCCAGACCCTACATGTCTACTTCTCCCAACCAGACTGAGCTGGCTGGATGGGTCCCACTCCGGAACAGGGTCACTGGCAGGCAGATCAGCTGGAGTCTTGAAATGTTTTGCCCTGACTGAGGGACCTTCTAAGCAAGCAACAATGCAGTATCCTGACACGAGGCAGGGGTACTGAGGGAGTGTGTTTGAACCTATTCCACAGTCGGGCTGTCTGTGGCCCTGCTCAGGCAAAGCCTCTCGAAGCCAGCCCTTGCTGTCTTCACTTGGCAGGGATGTTCACCTGTCCAAATGGCCTGACCAGAGAGATGCCTCAGGGTGGAATCAAAGCGTCTTCACTCTGCCTTGTCCTGACACTGAAAACTTTTGAAATCAGCAGACTGGGGTGGGTCAGATGTCACTGGGGTGGGCAATGACAGGCAGATGACATCAGATAGACCCCAGCAAATGTTAAGGAGGCTCAATCTTCCTGAGGGCACCCCAAATGTCGCAGGGGCAACACAGGTCCCTGGCAGAACCTCGGACTCAGAAGAACTGGCCCCAGAACAGAGTAGGGCGGGGACCTCAGAACTCTGGCCCAGACATTCCTGCCCCACCTTTCCTGCTGCTGTTATGCTGCATGGGGAGAAGGAGAAGCAGGAAAAGGAAACTGCTAGAAGCCCAGCAGCAGCCATCATTGCTGGCAGTAAACGTAGTGCTTCCACCCCCAACACACACAGCAGAGGACGGGGAGCACAGACTCGGGAGCTGCTGGTTCAGTCTGCACTGACCATGAGAGCCCAGCTGAGGGATTGGGGTGGGTCGAGTGACCTGGACCTCCCTGGCCCTTAACCATGCTTCCTGGCATTGACAGAATGGAAAGACTACTCCTGTAACCTTGAACTACCCTGGTCCCCAGCCCACACCTGGCCTGCTGTCCACAAGAGATCCATGTCAGCCTGTTATGTCACAGCTTACGCATCCCTGGTGATGTGTTTATAAAAAGAATATGTTCTGTGGGGGTGTATGTGTGGTGAGGTATGGGGGAAGGGGATGTCTCAGTGGGCCCATGCCGAGGTACCTCCTCCCCAAGAGACCAGCCACACACACACCGGTATAGTATAGAATAGAGTTTATTTAGGGCATGAGGAGGAGAGTTAAGAGGGTAGTAGAGGCAGAGAGAGGCAGAGAGAGAGAGAGAGAGAGAGAGAGAGAGAGAGAGAGAGGGAGAGGGAGGGAGGGAGAGAGAGAGAGAGAGAGAGAGAGAGAGGAAGAAGAAGAAGAGGAGGAAGAGGAGGAAGAGGAGGAGGAAGAGGAGAAGGAGAAGGAGGAGGAGGAGAAGAAGAAGAAGAAGAAGAAGAAGAAGAAGAAGAAGAGGAGGAGGAGGAGGAGAAGAAGAGAAGAGGTTGGCCATGACCACATGGAGAGAGGGGGAAGGGAAGGGGGAAGGGGCAAGGAGATAGATCAAGAGAGCATGAGGAGGAGGAGGAGGCAAGCAGCCCCTTTTACAGTAGGTCAGGCCTACTGGCTGTTGCCAGGTAACTGTGGGGAGGAGCATAACTTGCTGTCCCCTGTTAACTGTGGGGGGTGGAGTTTAGACAGAATGCTAACACTTGGTCCTCTCTGAAGCGGAGATCTAACTAGATCAGGACATTGCAAACTCTTGTGGTTGCCCCTCAAAAGAATCAACTGTAGAGAGAAGCTTCTTTTGGCATGGAACCTGGTCCCTGAGCTCCACACCCCCAAACATCCCAAAGCATAGACTGGACCTGGGCAGATCCAACAGACTCAGGTTAGCAGCCACTAACACTATAGTACCTTTCATTCAGGTCTGTGGCCCAGAAGGATTTACACCCCCAGGAAATCACATCACCCAGAGGAAAGGGCAGACATTAAGCATGGATGGTAAAGGTGGCCTGGGAAGGCCACACCTGATGTAGAAGTCTCCCAGCTAGGAGCTCTGGGTCCACCTAGAAGCGGTGTTGTTAAGTTTAAGGCCAGACACCAGTGTTTGAGAGTGTGTGCCGGCGAAAGTATTCCCCTCTCTAACCCTAGGCCCAGCACCCATCCCGCACCTCTCTGGTCAACAACATGGCCTCCTCATATTCTCCCTCCTGCCAATTCTAGGGTCCTTAGTGGCAGGCTGTGCAGAAGATGAATTTGAGGCATGGAAAGTCCAGGAGGGTCTAGAGATACTATCTGTCGATCAAGCTCCCAGCCCTAACAGGCTCAGAGGTGTTGGGTGACTCATTGGAGGCACACATTCCCGGCAGGGCCAGCCTCCCTTCTCATCCCCAGGTAGACTTGATGCTCACAAACAGGCATGGTGAGGCCAAAAAAGTTAAGCTGGGTGTACAGGTGACTCAGCTATTTTCCTTCTGGCCATCCAAACAGTAGCTGGACCTTTCCTCTGCATTCCTGGCCTCTGTTCACACCAGATCGCTCCCAAGCAGGGTCACTGGGGCCTTCCCTGCCCTCACCCAGTCCTGGCCCCTCAGGCACCTAAGCCGCACCCTAGCATGGCACTCACTCTGGTATTTCCTGGTCTGGAGTGGCATGGACCTTACTTCTGCTGTGGAGGCCCACTAATCAATCTACTTGCCTGGTGGGCAGTGGAGAAAGTGTCTGCTCCAGGCAAGTGCACAGAACTGTCACACCCGCCCTCCAGTCTTGAGCCCCGGTCTCTGCCTCTCCACGGATCCAAGCTTCTTGCCCTACATGCCTTCCAGTCTCTGCAGTCGCTTCCCCTTCCTCGGCCTGCCATGCCGCCCAGTCAGTCCCGGGAGTTGCCCAAACTACTCTGCTCCAAGGTTCCGACATCCGTCTAGGCTCCTCCCAGGCAGGGCAACACCACCTTCTAGGCTTCTCTGTCAGCCCTTCCGCCCTGGCCAGCCAGGTCACCTGCTCCTGGCAGCCTCTCTCCCTCTGGGTGATAGAACTCGCACCCGGGTCCTGGCTTGGCTCGCACTCCGCACTGCTGCTGGGGGTTGGACCCCGCGCTGCGTTTAAACCGGAGCTGGGTGGCCACGGGACCGGGAGGAGGAAGCTGAGACCGAAGATGGAGGGCTCAGGACCGTGGCAGCGGGAGAAGGTGAGAGCTCCGACCCGCCGCAGAACTCGTGGGGCAGCGGACCCCGCCCACCGACGCGCGCCCTTACCTGCGCCGTGCGCTGCGGTTTCCCGAGTGGCCGCGCAGCTCCGCGCCCCACCGCCCTCCCTCTTCGCGCCCCGCCCCGAGGTGTTGCTCGCGCGGGGGCGTCTCCGAGGAGGCGGAGCGCGGCCTCGGAATGTCCCGAAGCCAACAACTCTCTCCCAGAGCCTCTCCCGCCAGACTGCGGAAGCTCCTCTCCGGTCTGCGAGCACCCCAGGATCGCACCCTGGCTGTCTTTTCGCCTCTAGCCTCCCTCTCCCGATCCGAGGACTGCAGGCAGTGCCTGAAGCCACCCCGATTTCCTTACCAACCGACTCTGCCCAGGCTGTAGCTCTGAGACCTTGTTGTCTCCCCATTGGGTCACTGGGTCCCCCACCTTCACCCACACACACTCGCGAAGGACCCCTGGGTAGATTCGGGAAACTTGTTGCTTAGAACAGTCGGCCATGATGACCCGCAGCCCCTGAACTGAGCGTGCTTCGGTAGCAGCTACTGCTGTGTGTGACCTTGTAAGAGGCCCCCTGCATTCATTCCGGGTACAGCCTGAAACTGGCCAGTTTCCTGTGCCAAAGCCTTCGACCTTGGAAGGAGCAGCGCAGTTCCAAACCAAACTCTTGGAAGGTGGAGGGACGATGGTTCAAACCTGTAACAAAGAGGCCTGCTGTCCAGCTACCGGGCTCCCTTTTGGCCAGCAAGCAAGTCACCCCCCTCCACCTGCAGTGACACCAGGCATCTAGGAGCTGACTGGCCTGGCTGAGTTGCTTCTAAGCCTTCCAAGCCTGATCACAGCAAGAAGCCTGGGGAAGAGACAGACAGCTCTGAAAGAGACAGCCTCCATGCATCCTGCCAGAGAGAAGAGAGACTTCTATGAGTCTCTGAGAAGGGGCCTGCCAACCTCATCCGCAGTGGCTCCCTTGGGTTGCTTTTTGGTGAGCATTTAAGTTCTGCCAATCTGCCCTACAGTGGCAGGCTCTGAGTTGGTTGCCCAGTAACCCTACCACGGGCGCTGCTGTCATCCACTCTCCTACCCCAATCTTGGTCTCCATCCTCAAACCCTCCCCCAAGAACCCTCCCCCAGGCTCTTCTTCCCTCCCCACTTGGCTAAGAACTCTCCTTCCTTCCAGCCTTTACTTTCTTTCTTTTAAATACTTAAAAAAAAACAACTGTATTACAGGTTTTCTTTTTTTGCGTGTATGATGTGTATGTATTCGTGTGTGTGTGTGTGTGTGTGTGTGTGTGTGTGTACATGTTTGGGTGTCTCCTCCGGAGCTGTCCTTTTTATTTCTGAGACAGTCTCTGATTGGCCTTCACCACATAGACTAGGCTGACTGGCCAGTGAGTTCCTACCTGCCTGTCGCTGCGTCCGCAGTGATGGGATTACAAGCGGACTCAACCACACTTGGCTTTTTCACATGGGCTTTGGGGATCAAACTCAGGTCCTTATGCCTACATGCAAGTACTGAACTGAGCTGACACCTTAGCCCCAGCTTTGCTGCTTTCAATACTCTTTCCTGTGCACCCGGCCCCCGAGGGAGCCCCATTCCCCCAGATGCCCACTTCTCTACCCCTGCCCTCTGTCTGCCTCTTTTTGGCAGGCAGGGCAGGCCATGGGCTGGAAAGGTTTGGTCTTGTGCCAGGTGCCTCTGAGCCAGCCCTTTCGTTTGCCGGGCCCTCAGTTTCTTCAACTGCACAAGTATGTTGCCTAGACTCTTGACGGGAAGGAAGAAAGAGCCATCCCAGCTTCCTTCATGAGTTGTGACTTCCTGGCCAGGGGCTGGAAGTCCTGGAAGTTACTGAGCTCTGGGCTTCCTCATCCACTCAGCATCCCCACTCCCTGTTTATTATCTGCCACAAGGCAAAGCCTACTCAGCATCTCTTCCAGTTAGTCCTTGACTGAGGATCAGATTCTGCCCCTCTCCCCCGGTAGTACCCAAAGGACCGGATCTACTGAATCCCTCCACCGTTTCCCTCTGGCATCACAGGGCTCCTGTTTCAGCTCCTCACAGATTTGCACATGGCATGTGCATACATGCAGTTCCCCATGTGAGAAACGAGGCAGGATATGTATTCAACTTGGCCACCGGGGTCCTCCACCACTGGAAAGGTGGGGCCCCTAGGCTACACATCTCCATGGAAGAAGCCCCATTCGTGGAAGCTTGTGTATCTGTGTACAAGGACATATGCTGACACATATGCAGAATGCAAGGCACTCCCCTACGCACCAGTTCTTGGTACATAGGCTCAAGTTCATGCACATACAGGCCTGACCCAGGCTGGGCTCAGCCTTGAGCTATTCTGGGTCGGGCTTAGGGCCAACAAGTTCAGGGACAGCCAGCTCCCAGCACACCCAGCTGCTGCGTCACTGGCCCAGGCTAACTCCCACCCCCACCTCAGGGTAAGTCCATGGTGGCCTGGATCCCTGCCTGGCTCTGTAACTGGGTGGGTGGAGGGTTCTCCATTCACTACTCCTCAGCGTCTCCAAAGCTAAGCCTTGAGTTCCATTGTATCAAGCTCCAGGCAAGAAATGTCCACGGGGTCTGCTGGACATTGCTCAGTTCCCTACACATAGCTTCCAACCCAGAGGCCCTGGAGACTGGCTTTGGTCCCCACAGGAAACCCATCAGATATAAAAATAGTACAGAGGGACAAGTAGTAGCCAGCAGGCCACCACAAAGAAAGGGATGTTCTCTCCCAGGGTGTCAGAACTGCCCCACCCCAGCCTTGCTGGGCCCGGCTGGTGGGATGCAGGGGCTTGTTGAGGGGGCCTGGTAAGAAGCTGCACAATACCAGAGAGTGGTCAGAGCCCTGAATCAGAGACAAGAAGACTGAGTCGAGTGTTGCAATTTCTGAGGCCTAAGGCCAAACAAGCTCCTCCCTAGGAATCCTCCCTCACTAGAGAACAGGGTAGATCTGGCAAGATGGCTCAGCCAGTAAGGGCAAACAGGCAAGTGCTGGACATCCAGGCAACCTGAGTTCAGACTGGGGAACCCATATAAAACTACAGAGAGAGAAATTACTCCACAAAGTTGACTTCTGACCTCTACATGTGTGACATGGCACCGGTACACACACACATACACACACAAACACATACACACACAAACACATACACACACAAACACATACACACACAAACACATACACACATACACATATATACACATACATATATACATGTACGCACGCATACACACACATATACACATACACACACACACTAATAAATTAAGGGCTATAGGGCATGGTGGCACATTCCTTTAACATAGTACTCTGGAGGCAGAGGCAGGTAGACCTCTTTGAGTTCAAGACTATCCTAGTCCACACAGCAAGCTCCAGGCCAGTCAGTGTCACATAGTGAGACTGTGCCTCAAAGGAAAAAAATAAAAAAGAGAAAATGGAGGAGACAAAGAGTCAAAGCAAAGGCCACCACTTGAACCACAACATATTTAAGTTTCATTTTCATTAGAAAACGGGAAACACCCTCAATGTCTAACAACAGCACTGATCGACTGAGATCTATGGCTTTGCTTTTATTCCATAGAGCCTTCAACAGTGACAATAAAGTAAAGACTAGCATTTAGCAATGGCTTGACATGTACCTGTTTTACAGACAAGGAGTGATGGTTAGGTAATCAGCTGTAGGCCAGGGTTCATACCCATCAGCATTGGTAAGGTTTCGGTGTTTTTTTGTTTTTGTTTGTGTTTTTTTTGAGACAGGTCTCATGGAGCCCAGGCTGGACTTGGAACTCCTGGTCCTCTATCCACCTCTCAAGTGCTGAGTTTAAGCTTTATTGACTACAGATGTCATATTAAAAAAAATAATGCAATGAATTTATAAGAGATGTCATTTGAAAGTTTGACTGCTTAAATTCTCCTACATTAACTACATTTTGTGAATTTTGAATAACATCCCGTTATGCCAACCTTTCCAACTTCAGAGGGGAAAAACAAGAAAATTTAAATAAGTAAGCTTTCAAATGCTGTTTCTTTTGTCTTGCTATGTAGACCAGGCTGACCTCAAATCCACAGTGATCCCCCTGCCTCTGACTCCTAAGTGCTGGAGTTATAGATGTATGATGGAGCCTCAGATAGTATGTCCTATAAGTTCATAGCTTTTATACTTCTTTGGTTATTAACACTTAAGACTACTACACTAGGGAGCTGGAGAGATGGCTCAGTGGTTAAGAGCACTGACTGCTCTTCGAGAGGTCCTGAGTTCAATTCTCAGCAACCATATGGTGGCTCACAGCCATCTGTAATGGGATCCGATGCCCTCTTCTGGTGTGTCTGAAGACAGTGACAGCGTACTCATATGCATAAAATAAATAAATAAATAAATAAATAAGTCTTTTTAAAAAAAGACTACTACACTAAGAATTTTCAGATATCTTATTCTAAGTCAATTAGATTTTGAAGCCTATAAGATAGTATGACAGTATTATGTGCCCGTGTGTGTGTGTGTGTGTGTGTGTGTGTGTGTGTGATGGGAGGAGGAATCTGCATTGGACAAAAAGATTTGGATCCAGAGGCAAGTGAGATGTCACAGGAACCCATCATCTCTGTTCAAGACCCTGTCTGAAGTCAGCCTAAGCTATATAGCGAGACCCTAATCAAGACATAAGAGGGAGAGAGAGAGAGAGAGAGAGAGAGAGAGAGAGAGAGACCCTGCAGAGATGTAGCGTGCTTCTCTCTCTTCTTCTCCCTCTCGTTCTGTTTATTTTTATTTATTTTTGCAGTGTTGGTGACTGAACACAGGCAAGCACTCTGCCACAGAGCCACGATTCTGGCTTGCCCTACTTTTTGGCAGACAAACAACACAATATACTTTAATTTTTAAAGTGAATTTATTTTAAGTGTATGAATGTTTTGCCTGTATGCATACCACATGCCTGTTGAGTTTGGGAGAAAGTGTCAAATCTTCTGGAACTGGAGTCACTGATGGTTGAGAGCCATCTCATGGATACTGGGAATCAAACTTGGGACCTCCGCAAGAGCCACAAACGCTCCTAAACGCTGAGCCTCTTCCAAGAGAATGAACTTTGAGCATCAGTCCCTTCCCCGGGCTGAGCAGCAAGGGAAGTCCTGTGAGCAGCAGTCCAATGTGTCCTGCTAAGGTGAGCCAGCTTTCAAAGCCAACAGTCACTGTACCCTCCCCCTTTCCCCACTATTAGCCCTGTGATAGCCTCTACCTCCTTATTCCCCAGGCTAGAACTCAGAGGCAGAGAGGACCAAGGGTCTTCCCAGTGCCACACCTAGTTGCCTGGTTCACCTGGACAAAGTTCAGTCCTGCCTCTCTAAGCACATGCCCTAAGGGTGATTATCCCCGCCTCCCCCACCTGCCGCCAGCCACCCTCTGTGACCAATGTGGCTTTCAGTAGCCTGGCCCAGGCCTAGCCTGTGGCTGAGGCTTGAGGAAGTAGGAGGCAGACTCCTCCTCTTCCTCCTCCTCCTCCTCCTCCTCCTCCTCCTCCTCCTCTTCTTCCTCCTCCTCCTCCTCTTCCTCTTCCTCCTCTTCCTCCTCCTCCTCCTCCTCCTGCTGCTGCTGCTGCTGCTGCTGCTGCTTAGTTGGAGAAGCATTCCTGGGGGTGGGGGAGGAAGAGCTTATCCTGTCGTGTTGTTTTGGGAATCTATTCTGTTTCTTGCTTGCTTTGGATGAAGTGACCCCTGGGTTTTGCCAGCTACTGTTGAGATGACTTGGATGTGCCCCCTGGCCTCCAGTCCTTTTCAAACAGGAGCTGTTTTCCTGGCTGCCCTGTCATCTGCAGTCCCTGAAGGGCGATTGGCCTCCTGCTCCCTGTTGGGGCCTCCGTCCTTATCCCTCAATGGCACATCCAGGATAGAGCCCTGAGACCCAGCTGGAAGGGCCTTGCTGAGGAGTCCCCCATCATGTGTCCTTGCCTGGCCTCCACAACTGTTCTTGGTGAAAGAAAGATCCTGGGTCTGCTTCTCTTAGCACCCAGCAAGTGGGTGAGAGTGGAAAGAAGGAAGGAAACCGGGAGTGTGAGGTGGACCACTGCATAGGTATTTCCAAGCTCCCACTCTCCTCTAAGACCACAGCCCCTCCCCGGGTCTCCACAGCCACTCAGAAACTCCATCCCTGGGTAGTCAATGTTCCCACAGTGTTAGGTCCACAGTGCAGTGTAGACCAACTTCAAGGCCCAGGCTATACTGCAGGCTATTCAACAGGACAGAAAATGATCCTCCAGGGATAGCTGACCTTGTCCTGGGGAGCAGAAGCTCCTTCCACAACATCAACATATGGCCAGCTCAAACTATACTATCCCTGGTTCTCCATATCCTCCCCTCCTTCTGCTTTGGTGTCCAGGGTGACCAGAGCTGCCTCTGGGCAGGAAGCCAACCCAGAAAGTCCAGGATATCCCTCAGTGCCTGTCACCATGGCAACATGCCCGCTCTGCCCCCTCCCAAGTCCAGTACCATTTTTTCCCCAAACTCAGAACGTCAGAATGGGAAGGGCCTCCTAGATCAGTCGATTTGAGCCCCTCCCCCGTCCCAAGTGGAGAAACTGAGGCCCAAGGGAGAAGGGACGGGGGGTGACGGTGGGGGTATGTGTTGGTAAAGGACCTACCCCTAAACCTTTCCCTTCCTACCTCCCTGCTCTCCCTGCCTCAGTGTCCTTGGGGTGGAGTGGGAGGCCTAAAAGTCTGATAGCCTAGGCGGGGTGCCACCCACACCTACCCTCATCCCAGCAGTGATGGCGCAGGTGGCGTCTCGGGAACCTGACACCCAAGATGAATAAATGATGCGGACTCAACCGCCCGCAGCCAGAACTCTCCGCTGCCGTCACCGCCTGCCGGTGGCCAGGGGCAGTCACCTGGTAGCTCTGTGCATTAGCCCCCTCGGCTCTCAGGACCTGCACGGGAGCGCGCGGCAAACGGGAGAACATGGCCGGGAGGCAGCGTAGCTCGGGTCGGCTCTGGGCGCTGGGCGGCGCCGCGCTGGGGGCTTGCCTGGCGGGTGTCGCCACGCAGCTGGTAGAGGTGAGGCATCGCATCACGGAGGGCTCGGGGTGCTGGCACTGTCGAGGCAGGGGCCGGCGGGTACGGGGGAGCTGACTCTATCCCTTCATCTTGCTTGATGAGTGACATGGCCCCTCGCCCTTCACGCTTAGAGTCACTGGTCTGACGGTGGAGCACAGCCTCTGACTTCAGGGACAAAAGGAGTTTGTGTCCATGTGTAGGAGGAGGGATACAGCTTTGCCATCCGGTCTTTGTTTTCCTAGAGGATGAGGAGAGGGGACTTTCAGCTCTTAGTTTTCTTGACTTCTAGTCTCATTGAGGATATTCGGACCCTGAATTTAGGGTATGCTGGGGGAATTGACCTTTCTCTACCCATGTCTCCCTACTTTAGGCCATACCTGGGGACTGGAAGATCCAGCTAGGTCCTAGTGATGGCTGGAACTGTGGAAGGCTTTTGAGCACACATGTCGTGAACAATTCCTCTTTGGAAGAGAATAATGAGAAAAGGTCACAAAATGGGTGGGCTGAGAAGGTTCAGCCCAGAGAGGAGGTGAAGAAGATGGGTGGGTGGAGAAAGCTATCCAGGAGCCTGGCTGGGGCCACCTGCAGCCTTTCTAATAGGAGGTAGCAGAACAGACTTAGAAGTTAGGAGTTGTAGGCAAAAGGGCAGGAGGAGCTGGAGGAAAAGGGCAGGAGGACCGAGAAGAGGCCTGGGAGGCAGTTGCTAAGGGATAGACAGGGCAGGATGGAAGACAGAACCAGTCACACTCAGGGTTCTGAGGGGCAGAGCTTTGAACAGGTGAGTTGGAGGACAACACCCAGTGATACAGATATCTGTACCCCTGTGTAGTGTGTCCCTTCTGCAACTGACCAGTGGTGTGGAAGAGGCTCTTTGAGTCAGATGTCAGTCCCTGTAAGGGAAGCCAGGCTGGCTTGGGCCCCATGGGGCATGCTAGGGCCTCTCATTAACTGCCCTGCACAGATACCGAGCTGTCCTCAGGGCAAAGGCTGCGGCAACAGGCAAGTCAGTTCAGAGGCAAGGAGTCTCCTCGCTCCTAGGCGTTCATCTTCTCCCAGCTCAGCAGAGGAAATCACATTTGGAGGCCATCTGCCCACAGCTCATGCAAGGCCTTTCTTCTAAGGAAGCATGGGAAATATGGGCAGGGCCGGCATCCATGTCTCTTCTTGGCCCAACCGTACAGGGTACCTCTCCACCTGGCTGTGCCTCTAAAGGAGGCAGGACCTCCAAGTTTCAGAATTTCTACCTTTATGGGGCCTACGTTAAGATGCCTGGTTGTTGCTCGTTACCCTCTGCCCAAGAGCCTGATCAGGATCTCCCAGTCAATCAGTTAGGCCAAAACACCAGCCAGGCCTGTGAAATGGGGAACAGCCACTGCCAAGCCCCCAACTCTGATGCTGCAGTCAGGAACCAAACAACATACACATTGTTCCAACCACACATACTAGGCCCTCTGCCCCTACATGCCCGTCTGTCTGACCACACAGGCCATGTATCCACATACTTCTCTGCCCTCACAGGGGTTTCCCAATCCACCAAGAGGTAATGCTGATTTAGTTGTACACTATTGTCAATTTTGCCATCAGATTGCAGAGTCCCCAGAAACAGCTGGCACTATCCTACTCCAATGACAGGGAGAGAAACTGAGGTCCAGAGTAAAGAAGGGAGTCCCCACCCTAGTCCCTCTTAGTGAGCAGAAAAGAGCTTAGAAGTCACATACCAGTCTATGGCTCAGTGACTCCGGGTTGCCTAGCATAGGTCACCCTCCCCGTGGGTGGCAGCTGTTAGCTGAGGAAGTACTGGGCTCTTGAAAGGTGACTATGTATGTTTATGGACCACAGTGGGGGTTGGGAACAAGAGAAAGGTTGAGAAACAGGTGGCTTTTCTTTCTCAGCCATAAGGAACGCTTCAAGCCTGCCCTTACTGATTTAGGAGATGTCATATTGCACAAATGCCTGATCTCACCCCTTTCCTTGTCCCTGAGTCAACCTTACTGACAGAGACAGGATCATATCTCTTTCTAGTAAAAACTAGCCTCTCCCATATTCTATCAGGCACAGTCACATTCCCGTAGACACCCAGGACAAAGTCATGTGACCTCAAAACACCCAGGAGTGTTTGCCTAGCACACACAAAACCCCAGGTTCAATCCCCAGCACAGCATCTATAAAAACAAACACACCCATGGCACAGCCATAGCTCTAAAACATCCAGATCAGTGACATGCTCCCCTTACTTTCTAGAAACACAAGGCGGGATGCTGTCTTATAATACTCTGTGGCCAGGTCCCCTTAGACCTGAGGTTTCACTGTGCCTCCTAAAAGCCCACAGAACCTGTGTCCCTTATAGTTGCACTTACATCATTTAGTCACCTGGTGGCGCTACATTACTATTTTTCTAGGCCTAGCCTGGCAGGCCTAGGTGGCATGGTGATGAGTGAGTGGGACAGGAACCACTGTGTAGACACCTGCACGAGGAGAGCCTTACCCATGTAGCCCAGCAGTAGAGCTCTGCTGGGACTCGAGAGCAAGACCAGTCTACCAGCCCACGAAACAGGCCTTGCCTTGACTCCAGCCTTGGTCCTGAGACCCCAACAGAGCTGGCTAGGACAGGCTGTCCATATTTGCTTCTTTGAGCCTTGTTTTCCCAAGCATCAACCCTTTGAGTCCAAGTCTCTGGTGCCAGGGTCTGGGACTCTGATCACTGCTTTTATTCTGAATCTTGGACTTTTTGAGGTCTACGGTGTTGGTTGTCTGAAACCTTTCGGGGATTCTAAAATGTGTGGGTTGAGTCCTTGCTGACCCCATCCGGTCTGCTGGCCTGTGCCTGGCTCACTCCTTTCTCTCTTGACCCACAGCCCAGCACGGCCCCGCCCAAGCCCAAGCCACCCCCACTGACCAAGGAGACTGTGGTGTTCTGGGACATGCGCCTGTGGCACGTGGTGGGCATCTTTTCACTCTTCGTGTTGTCCATCAGTGAGTAGCTGTACCCTACCCACTCCCCCCCCCAACCACAGGAGAAACACAGCCCTTCTAGCATCCCTGGCTCCTTCTGTACTCCTTGGGTTCAGAGCAGCAATTCCGGGCAGTCCAAATAGGCTAGGCACACACAAGAGGCCCACCGTGGACTCTGGCACCTCCTCACTCACACAAAGTCCCTGTGGAGGGCTGACGGGCCAGCGGTGACCCGAAGATTTCTGCTGGACCCAGGGAAGTAGCCACATGGCAATTACGTTAATTATAGGGGACTCCGACTGAATTCAGGACATGTCATCTTTCCTATGGCTGGCTTCCTGATGCTTTTCTTGCAGTTTGGCCAATTCAGAGAGCCCACACCCAGGGGCCCCAGCGAGGCCAACCTCCACCAGAGGCTCCCCAGACGCTGAGCAGATGCAACTTCCAAACCCTGAGCCCTACCTCTTCAAGCGCCATTTTCCAGAAATGATTCATACCTGCTTTTCAAAGCAGGAGTCCGTTCCTCTCCTCCAGTCTGGACTCTTTCTTACTGATGCAATGGGTTTAGCATGGACCCCTCATCTCCCACTGTGGAGTTGGTTGAGGGTGTGTGTGGTGACAACAAGCTGAATGAAAAACAGGCTAGGTGGGAGAGAATACCAGGGCACAAAGCAAGGGCAAAAAGGGGGAAGCAGAGAGAGAAGAAACCCACCCCACTTACAATAGCCTATAGAGGGGTATATGGCTTCTGTTCAGTATGAACAGAAGCTAGGAGGAAGCTGGCTTCTATGCCAGGTCTCAGATAAAACCCCTGGGACATCACCAAAATGTACCCAAAATGGAGGCTAAAGTGACATTTGAGTTCTGGTGGCAGCTCACTCAAGGGATGGCCTAGAGTGCTGGATGGCCACAGAGAATCCATCCAGATGTGAGGGGCTCTCAAGACATCTGATTTGTACAGGCTCCTCCTGGCACCCAAAGTGTCCTCTGGCGAAGATACCCCCTCCTCCCAGATCTGAGGAACTAGCTGGTTGTATTCTCAGTTAAGACCTAGAGAGGAAGCAGCTCAGTGATGGCCCCAGAAAAAAGTGTGCCTGCAGCCAGAGCCACGGTATCCTGATGGAGACTACCCTTGTTATCAAGAGGAACAACTGCCTCAAGGAGCCCCAGAGCAGTGAATGTCTCTGGGATATCCCCTAATCCCCAGGGTCATAGCTAGGAACCCAAGGTCTCTCCTAGGCCCTGCTCTCAGAGAATGGTGGAGGGGCCTGGGGCCACACCAGACATTTGCAGAGTCAAATAAAGAGGCCCATAGAAGTCATCTGTAGAGCATTCCTCCTCCTCTAACTTCATTTCCAAGAGTGGGAAAGGGCAGGAACGAAAGGTCCTTGTGCATCAGGTCAGCATGGTTACCTTCCATAGCATTGCTTCTGGGGGTGATGATGGGAAGCTATCTTCTCTGCTTCCCAGACTGCTTGGACTCAGGCAGGTATGAGTGGAGTATTGCTTCCCCCCCCAACAAATTCCCTCAGGGATGGGGACTAGGGCTCAATAAAGTACCCCCGGGGGTCTTCAGGATTCTCAGCTCTGTCCTGGGCCTCAGAACTTGACCCCAAATCTTTATTCATTTTCTTTGAAGAGAAGCAAGCGGTCAGGCATAGATGAGCAGACAGTATATGATCCTTGTTTTTGGCTGCCAACAGCTGCCTGATTGGCTTCTTTTGAGCTTTGGGCTCCCAGGCAGGACCTGGTACCAGCTACATGGAGCCTTAGCAGGCAGGGTCCTCAGGGTGCTGTCGGGATGACTAACAAAGATGACCCCAAGCCAGTAGGATTGGAGCATGAGAAAAACCTTGAGTCTAAAGCATCTTGGTAAGACCAAAGCAGAGCACTCTAGGTAATAAAAGACCATTGTCAGCTCAGGTAACCCCAGAGAGCTGTACACTGGGGCCATAGTGTAGCCAGCCTCTTCCTACCCCTGAACATATTCCTGGATACTGATGGCTCCCAAAGGAACCCAATCCAGTTCCCAGCAGTGGAGGCTTTTGGACAATCTCTCCCATCCGTCTGTCCATCTGTCCATCCATCCATTCATTCCATCCCATTGCTTCTCCCATTCTAAAGTCTGGGTGAGACAAATGGGAGCAAAATATTTGGCTCAAAGTACACAGCTTTGACTGAATAAGATGACTCTAGACTACCTAGGTCTGATCCATTTCCTCAAAATAGACCTGGCTTGTCATGCCTGGGCCCTTCTGCACCTCAGTAGCCTGCCAGGAAGTTCTGTCTGGTCATATTATTTATAATAGGAACCAGCCCCACCCACTCCCTAGGGGCTGGGGCCACAGTGGTCAGATTGTGGGAGCCTTAGAAAAATAAACTCTGCCCAGCCAGCCAGGTCCTGGCAGCCCTGCCCTACCCATCACTAGACAGGCCAGCTCCATGTTCTGCCCAGTTGATGTGGCATAGCTGCCTTTAACCAGAAAAACATCCCTGGGCTAACTCCCTCAGAAGTAAATGCCTGGGACAGGGTCTGGGCGGTCTCACCAGTTTCTTCCTCAGCCAGGATCCAGGCTTGTCCTCAGGGAAGCTGAAGAGGATGCAGTCACACCTTTGGATGTTTAAGGCACCTCTGTTTGTGATAAGGAGGCTGGAGAAGGAAATCTGGGGTGTCTTACGAGCACCCAGAGAGGCCTAGGTCAAAAGTACTAGGTTGTCTTGACAGGAGCCATGCCTAAGACCTTCACTTTACCCTGCTCTAGTACCCAGTGTAATCAGAGGCTATCAGACCAAGACTGGCTATAGAATTTGTGGGCTACTACAATGAAAATCCTAGGTTTCATGTCCAAGTTGCTAAGAATTTGACAGTAAAGCATTACACTAAGCATAGGCCTCACTAAGCATAGGTGTGCATCTGTGTAAAGTCAGATTTCGCCCGGGAGATCACCTTAGGCTTTTGCAGAAGTCTCATGTGAGACATACTTAAGCAGACGGAGTCAGGACTAGCATTTGGGTACCGCTCAACCTGGCTGAGACCTCACCCCAGCCAAACCTGCTCTGATATCCATACAGTCATCACATTGTGCTGTGTCTTCAACTGCCGTGTACCACGGACGCGAAAGGAGATCGAGGCTCGGTACCTACAGCGAAAGGCGGCCAAGATGTATACAGACAAGCTGGAGACCGTGCCTCCCCTTAATGAGCTCACAGAAATCCCTGGAGGTAAGTAGATTCCAGTCCAATTGCAGCCTGCCCTGGATCCTGCAGCCAGCCACTTCTTCAGTCCCACTATTTCGACTGAACCTGTCTCTTTTCTCTCGCTGCAGCTGGTTCAGAGAAGGGACTGGGCACTATCCCAGGAGAGCAGCGTGCAGAAACTGGTCAGAGTCAGGCAACTAAAACAAGGAGCCTGTTTTCTAGCAGAAAAATTGCGGGGGGGGGGGGGGCGGGGAGGCGATTCAGTCTGTAAGGTCTTTGGCATACCAGCACAAGGACCAGACTTGGGTGCTCCAACATCCACATTAAAGGTAGACAGCTATAGAAGACACCCAACATCAACCTCTGGTCTCTACACCCATGCCCACGCATGTTTGCACTCATAGGCATGTATATACACACATCCCAAATAAAAAAGATCTGAGGAGAAAGGGCAGGAGAGGAGATGTTCTGTGGCCTTTTCCTGTCTCACCACTGTGTCTTGCCCCTCCCCTCAGAGGACAAGAAGAAAAAGAAGAAGGACAGTGTGGACACTGTGGCTATCAAGGTAGAAGAGGATGAGAAGAATGAGGCGAAGAAGAAAGGAGAGAAGTGAGGGCGGCATCCTGGAGGCAGCAGCTGGGGCTGGCAGGCCCTGAAGCACAAGTTCAGGCTGGGATCCAGGCATCAGGCCTCCATGTTCATACATGGACTTCAGAGGCTGTGGTCCAAGGGGAAGCCAAGGCCATGGCCGTTACCTCATGGCCCAAAAGATGCAGGGACAAGACTTCACTAGTGTCCATCCTGGACTCTGTTCCCTTCACAGCATCAGTCTGGGCACTTCTCATGGGCCACTGTCCCTCCATAGATATAGAGTGGCCTCAAACTCCTCTCCCCGTCCAGACAAGCTTCTGTCCCACCCTTTGTGCCAGGGGCAGAAGTGGCTATAGGCTATAAAGGAGTCAGGGATTGGTCATTTAGGATGGCAGGAGTGAACAGGTTGTTCAAAAACACAGAGGGCTGGAGGGGGACTTGTGACATGATTCTCTGACGTAGCTAGATAGCCGCCACAAATAGCAAGGAAATTGCCTCAAGTTTGGCAGTAATCTGTCCCTGGCTGCTAGGGTAGACCCATTATCAGGAGAGTTCCTGACCTGGCAGATGCCAAGCTCTGAAAACAAGGTATCAGTGTGACAGAGTTGAGACCACTGAGGGGCTGGCAGGAGGCCCAGGGTGGAAGGGCTTCTGACCCAGGGGTAGGGTCTAAAACACAGGGGACTGAGGAGAGTGGGCTGAGTGAGACAGCCTGGGTCTCCTCATGGGGATCAGGAAATACTTAAGGCGCAGGGCATGGGCCACGGACTATTACGGCTGCCTTTTCTATGGCCAGGACTCTATTGGATCATGGCAGCAGTCAGCCATCTGCCTGCTGAACACAGTGGTATGCGGGTCCTCTTCTGCCATCTCCCTTACTTAAAAAAAAAAAAAGCATCTCTGCCAAGAAGACAATTGAAATGCCATTGAGGGACTGGCTCTAGAGAGGAGAGATGTATGCGGCGCTTCCAGCATCAAAATGAGGAGCCCTGAGCAGAGCTGGAGTCTGAGACGCTGGGAAGACTTTCCAGGTGGAAAGCCTGCTAGAAAGGTATCCGGAGGAAATCTGTAAATAAAGCTGGGTGCCTTCTCAGTCCCAGACGTTACGGAACTCCATCCTGAGGTGAACTTCCACCCCAGTCCCATTCTTTGCCAGACCCTTGAGGATTCCTGCAGCAGTGACACATTATAATAGGTGCCTCAGACAAGCCTGACATTCCCTGACCCCTGTTCCAGACTAAGGAAAAAAACCCAGTGGCTGAAGAGCAGTTATAGCCACCACCCTCTCACACATACACCTGCCCGCACCAAGTGGACAGGGGGAGAAACTGAGGAGCTAAGCTCTCCTCCACTCTACCCCATGCTCTCACCAGGCCTCTGACAGTTTGAACCTGGTGCTGGGATTCACAGGAATCCTCCCTCCTCACCCTACAAGGAGAAGCATGCCAGGATGGCATGAGGAAGGAGTATTGAGAGGGCAGAGGGATCACAGAAGGCCCTATCATGGAAGCAGAGTACCCTGACGAGGTAGATGCAGTTGGCTGACCTCTACCTCCAGGGTCCAGTCCATGGGGCTTGTCCCAAGACACACCAGAACCGCCCTGGGTAGCAAGGCAGTAGAAATCTAGAGGGGCTGAGGCCACTCGAGCTCACTCAGGGCAGCAGCTGGGCAGCCTGTGGGAAGTGTGTCTGCTTTACTGGGTTGTTTATGTACCTCCACCTCCAGGCTGGAGGCAGGACTGGCTGGTCATAGTACTCTGTGGACCTTTGGGAACAATATTCTGGAGAGTTCCAGGTACTAGCCAGAAGGCAGTCAAGACCAGGGAGTTCAATCCCTACTCAAGTCTCACAGAAGGAGCATGTCACTCTTCGTCTAGAGGTCTGGGAGGGAGATCCAGCAGCCCCAGCTTCAGCCTGGGTAGCCCATCCTAATCTTTCCGCTGCCCCTTCACACTTTCTGCAGGAGCCACCCCAACCGCAAACCTTCAGAGGCTCCACACTCTTCAGTGTAAGTGCCCATCCCATTGCGTTTTTCTGCTTCCCACTAGAGCAGGCTCAGAAAGGAGACACGGCAAAAAGAAGTGTTTAATCTCTTCAAGTCCCCGCTGGCTGAGCACCACACCCACAGCAGCACTCAGGAGGAGGGGAGGGAAGGAGAGATGTGTCAATGTCACAGAGTGTCCAGAAGGATGAGGAGCAGAAGGAAAGCCAGGAGCAAGGTCCTGGGTGGGGCCGGAAGGGCCAGGGACTCCCCACTGAGGTGGTCCCAGATCCACGGCTGGTAGTAGGAGACCTGCAGAAATATGAGCGGGGCCTCGCTCTTCTTGCAGCCTGGGCCCCAGCTCATCATTCCCACCAGGTACCATGTGCCACCTGAAGAGCAGACCAGGGGCTCACCAGTTATCTCCTGCAAGGAGGGAGGAAGTTAAGAAGGTCAGGGAGGTGAAGTCTGAGGGGGGCACGACCCTCCTCAGGGATCCCACCCAGGATGCTCCCCCACCAGGTTGTTTCCATATCCCCTCCAGTATGAACAAAGCTGACAGTTCCTCCCCATAGGACACTCCTGTCATCAATCACACACCCAACTCCCTCCCAGGCTCATCCCCATCCTATCCAGCACACCCCCTTTCTGGTCCCCACATCCAGCCCTCACCTCTCCCTCTATCCTCTCCCACCCTACCCTCCCCTCTCCACAGCCCTCAGCTCTGCCTCCTACACCCCTCCACCCCTCGGGATAAGTGAGCAAGGGCAGCGGTCCTTACGTAGCAGAACTTTTCCCTGTTGTTGTCTGAGGCACAGATCATCTGAGGGTTGATGATCCGAACCAGATTGGGGATCCTGGAGAACTTGTGGTAGAAGTGCTCACATGTCTTGCTGTTCAGGATGGAGACTTCCTTCTCCTGGAGGGATTGGAACTGGGGCCATATGCCTGTGGGACAGGTTCCCAGTCAGGTTTAGCCACTGGCTGTGGCCCACAGACACCAGCTCTGTCTCCTTTGCATAGCGGCCACAGAGAGGTCTCCATATCTGGACAATTTTCCCCTCTGGCCAGCAGGTCCCAAGAATGCCCCATGGAGGTTCTAGAACATAGTTCACACCTACCGGCCTCTTGCCTCTGCTGGTCCTCTTCCAAGAGCCTGCCAGGACTCTCAGGGCCAAAGCCTTTTTTTTTTTTTTTTCCATCCCTGGAGCCTTTTTCTCACTAAGTTTCCCCAGACCCACCCCACAGCCCTACCCTCACCACCCCCCCCATGCCACTCCTACAATAGTGCTATCTTCCATCCCACCCAAAATGTGCCTGAACTCCTGGACAGGAAACTTCTGATCACTCCCAGATAGGTTGTTTAGGGGGTTAAATCGGATCCCTAAGGATACAGAGAAAGGCATATGTCTTGCGCATTGACTCCATAAAGGCAGTGGATAGTCCCAGAACCCATCAGAAAAACAATCCCTTGGCTGGGCATGAGAGAATGGACCTATCTTGAGAGCCTTGCTCCCACAAAGGGATCAAGGGGCCCTGCGGGAAAAGGAGGGTATGAGTGGACCTTGTGAGACTCAGCTTTTCAGACACAAACTGCATCTATTCTGGGAAGCATCTTGCAGATCTGAGAATCCACTCTCTTGACCTCCCTACCTGCTGAGGCCCTACAGTTCTGTGTGAGTGACAAGCTATCCTTCTGAGATCTCCCCACTCTCAAGAAAGTTCTGTTTACATAAGCTGTTGTGATCCTGAGACTTCGATGGTTCCCAGGCCTAGATGACCATACTATGCTCACTGACAAGACCTCCAAGGGGCAGGAGACTTGAGAGATGAGAAGCCAAGAAAAAAGTTCCTGGATCAGTCAGATCCTTGAAAAAGGCACTCCAGAAATGTTCATCCATGGGGGGCACCCCAGCCACACCCAAGTCCTCTCTTCCCTCCATGCACCTTAGGGATGGGAGGTGGGGGCTTGGACTCACCATTAGCCTTGGGATATCCCCAGCCTGTCACAGTGCAGAGAGAACTGTCCTCCACCACATACTCCAAGCCAGGCAGGCAGATAGGCCACACATATTTGCTGTACTTGAGCCCCCACTTGAGCTTGATGAGGCCAATGTCATGGGCCCGGCCAACCCAAGACCAGTACCGCCTGGAATGGTAGTCACTGTTTATGATGATCTGATGTACCGGCACATCTGAGCTGCTTCCTGTTGTCTGATTAATCCACGGGCTCCCCACCCTCACTGTATAGTTACCACGCCCCCTATGGGAATAGAATGGGAGTATATTTCATCAGCTCTAGGCTCCCACCTCAGCCCTCAATCCCCCCTCCATACCCCTGTGGCCCTTTAAGGAAATTCAGGCAGGCCATCTCCTGCTTCAAGCCCCCCCTCCCCCGAGACTATTCCTTATGATAGAGCCCTGCACACACAGTGCGGTCCTCTTCGTTGTGTGGAGGAGAAAGCCGGAGATTCAGAGAAATGCCATGGCCTGCTTAGGGATGTATGTGTAGGAAGTGGTCTTGCGATATGGTCTCTGTTTCCTCAGATCAGAATCTGAGTTTTTCTCCTACATTTCACCTCGGTCAGTAACGGAGTCCCTAGTAATGCCATGGCCTGAGTCTCACGCCACCATCCATGGGAACATGCTTTCACTGGTCAGCCCTCTTGGGAAACACAGATGCTGCTCTCAGGAACTCCCAGGCCCCAGAACACTGGCACACCCACCTCTTTGTCTCTACACAATGCATGCCTATCTTCTTGTCTCTGACCCCCTGAGAGGTTCTAAGTAGGGGCCTCTCTCAGAAGAGAAGAGAGGGTAATTTGAATGAAAGATCTAGGGCCTTCTGAGCCTCTGTTCTTAACCTACTGAGTGACTGCACCAGACTGAAGGGGAAGGGAAAGGCAAAGGTGAGTACATCCCAAAGGCTGAGCCCCAGGAAGGAATCCGTGAGACTCCACTCTCCCTTGCTCAGGGTAAGGGTGAGGCTGGGCCTGGCTCTGCGGGCTCGGCTCCACAGAGGACGCAAGTGCTACTTGATGGGTCACCTGGGAGAGTGACTGTGACTCAGGCATTCCAAATGTCTTTCCACCCACCCACCTGAGCCCCAACTCACTGGCTCAAGCAATGGGCCACGGTCAGCACCCACTGGGAAGCGATAAGGATGCCAGCACAGACGTGCGAGCCGTTGACCTGCACACTGACCATCCACGGCCACCGCCGAGTCATGGCTTCTGGGTCCCTGAGAGTAGGGTCTGGCTCGTGGGAGGAGCCGCAGACTAAAGAGGAAAAAAGAGAGTTTGACAAAGGATGAGCTCCTCCAGCTCTTTTGGCTCTGTCCGCCTTCCCGCCTTCCCTCACCCTCTCCAGCCTTTCTAGTTTCTCCAGCCACTCATCTGTAGCTACTCAACCTTTTCTACCTTCTGCTATGAAATGAGGGCATCCGCCTACCCACCTATGGGCATCCCCGGCTTCAGAAGAGCTGCAGCACTCTCCAGATGCCTACTTCCTCGTTCCTACAGCTTGGGCCCCAGAGCACTCTAATAACAAGCTTCAGCCAGACCCTTCACAAATGCGCCTGTGTATTTCTATCTGGTGGCAGACCGCTCCTCCTATTTGACCTAATGTGGACTCTGGCCCTCTGGGAATCCCCTCTTGTGATTCATGGAGATAAAGATAGATGACCCAACAGTAAAACAGGCTGTATGAGGGAGCAGGCACATCTCAAAGAGGAAATGTAGCAAAAGACATGGAAGCAAGCCTGGCCGCCTTGGGACTTGGGATATCCCGCCTTAAACCGTATCACACACCTGTCTGTCAAAAGCTTAGTATTAGTGATATGAAATGCTGGTGAGAATTCTAGGTCATGATGTACCCTCCTGCAGATGGGGGTGCCAGCTGCTGAGGGCACTACGAAAAAAGTTGTGAAAACTCAAGAAGGGGGCCAGCCGGATCTACAGAGTGAGTTCCAGGGCAGCCAGCCCTATACAGAGAAACCCTGTTTTGGGGAGGTGGTGGGAGGAGATCACTAGCTGCTTTTTCCAAGTATAAGCATAGGAGTTGGGGTCCCAGCATGCACTTGGTGGCTCATAACCATCCATAGCTCCAATCTGGGGGATATGGTGTCCTCTTCTGGCTTCCAGAGGTACCAGACACATAGGTAGCACATACATGCATACAGGCAAAGCACTATATGCATAAAAACAAAATAAAGGATTGAAGATAATCATATCTAGCTGCCCAGTTATTTCCACTTACGCATGTTCTAAACAAATCAGTGGATTGTGAAACCAAGTAAATGGGCCATGGCTAGTGTGTGTGTGTGTGTGTGTATGTGTGTGTGTGTGTGTATGTGTGTGTGTGTGTGTGTTCATTTGTAGTGCTGGGATGGGATTCAGGGCCTGGTGTTATTCACATGTTACACTTTATCTCTGTCATCCCTGTGTGGATGGGTGGACACATGCTCCTTTGTGCATGTGGAGGCCAGAGGAGGATTTCCAGTATCCTCGTTGCTCTGTCAGTCTCTTGATTCAGCGTCTCTCACTGAACCAGAAACTAGATTGGCAGCTTCCTCAGCAGGGTGCTGGGGTCCCAGCAATCTCCTGTTCCTGCTTCCCATTCCCCTCAAAGTGCTGGGGTTACTGGAGCATGGGACCACACCCACTCAACTTTAAATAGGCCCTGGGGTTTTAACTCAGGCCCTCCCGTTTGCATGGTAAGAGCTGTCTTCATCACGAAATGATTCTCTCCCCAGCCCACCACAGAAGTTTTAAACGGTGCTCAGCTCAGAGACTATCAGCACACATCACACACAGTACCTCGATGTACCCTGCTAGACTCTGTGTGTGTGTGTGTGTGTGTGTGTGGCTTTTCGAGACAGGGTTTCTCTGTGTAGCCCTAGCTGTCCTGGAACTCATTCTGTAGATCAGGCTGGCCTCGAATTCAGAAATCTGCCTGCCTCTGCCTCCCAAGTGCTGGGATTAAAGGCGTGCACCACCACTGCCCGGCACCCCTGCTAGACTTTTTGAAGCAGTTAAAGTGGCTGCACTGAATCCTAGGATAATAACTATCTCTTATGTGAGTCTTAACCACAGACCATTGTTTATGTGAAAGCATACTGATGTACTGGTTAGGTTTAATTGCCAACTTGACACAGCATAGATTCATCTGAAGGAAAAACCTTCACTGATAATTGTCTGAATGAGATTGGCCTGTGGGTAATTCTTTGGGGGAGGGGGGATGCTTGTCTAGATTATTAATTGATGCTGGATGGTACAGCCCTGTGGAGTGGCACCATCCCTAAGCAGGAGGTGGGCCTGGGATATATAAGAAAATTAGCTAAGCATGATCCCATGAGTGAGTGTGCCAGCAAGCAGCCTTCCTCCATAGTTTCTGCTTCGGGTTCTTGCCCTGGCTTTCTTCAGTGATGGACTGTGACCTAGAAGTGTAAGCAAAATAAAGTCCCCACCCCCAAGTGGCTTTATCACACCATCAGCGAGGAAATTAAAACACCAGGTGTGCTCTGAAGACCCCACAGGAAGTCTCACACGGGCCTATTGGAGTTACGCTGTGGGCTCTGAGATGGGAACCTGAGAAAAGGGCAAGCCAGGTCAAAGGAGGGCCTGCAGCTGCCAGAGAGTCATTTGGCCAGCTCTGGGCACCGGGACACCACCTCCCACTCACCACATTCCCTGGGCTAGCTTTGACTTTCCTCAGCTTGCCCCCTGTTTACCTCACCATGATGGAAGGCCTGTGAGCAAAGGACCCTGAAGGCAGGCCCAAGGCCTGGCCCAACCTTGATGCTCAACAAACACTTGTACAGGGGCGTTCCCTTCTATCTACTCTGCCTTTGGGTCCCTGATCCTCGACCCTTTAACCTTAGGGATCAAAAAATCCGTAAGAACTTTCTGACCTCTCATGCCCAGTACTCACATGGGAGGTTGCTGGGTTTCGTTTTAGGAGCGGACTTAGTAGTGCCCTCTGTTTCCGGTGGAGTCGTGGTCTCTGAATCCTGTGGAGTCGTGGTCTCTGAAGTCTGGATCTGCCGAGGAAGGCGAAGCCTGCCTGAGGGACAGATGCCTCTGGAGGCACAGGAGACTCCGGGGCCGGTTGAGCCTGTGGTGGCCAGCGTCTCCGAGGATTCTCCTGTGGCCAAGCAGCCTGTGGAAGGTCACGAGCGAGTCAGAGGCGGCCACGGGTGGGCGTGCCGGGGAGGGCGCTGGGGACGGATGCGCTCACCTGCCGGCCGCCGAGGCAGGAGCAGCAGCAGCATCAGCAACAGCAGGAGAAGGGCGCGGGCGCGGGTGCGGGTGCGGGAGGCCCCAGGCACACGGGGACCCTGAGGGCCCTGCCCACGGACCCCTGCCCCGCACCAGGGCTCCATTGCGCAGCTAGGTTCCTCCACAATGGCGCCCTCTATCGGGCGCCTCATGGCGCTCTGGTGCCCAGCCTGCGTGGCGCCCCCTGGATGCCATTCACTGGGGTGCTCCCGCCAAAGGCGCGCAAGTAGTGCTTGGCTTGGCTTTCCTCAGATTTGTGGGCCCTTTCTCTGGGTCCCTTTGCCTCACCTCAGCTAATTTCTAAGTTTCCGTGTTATCTCCATCAGCAGCGAGAGGAAGGCCAATCCCGATGCGTCAGTACCCCTACTCCCCTTTCCCAGCATCCATACCTTCCCCTTGAATACCAACAGCGCAGGCCATTGAAGCAAAGTAATGTGTTCATTAGGATCTCACTATGTAGCCCAGGCTGGTCTCGAACTCACGGCAATTCTGTCTTGGCCTCCCAAGTGCTGGGATGACAGGAATGAGCCATTAAACTTGACTTCAATGATGATTTTTAAAGGCTGCAACATCTGAAGCAATGTGTTATCTAGCTCCCCATACGAAGACTAGGGGGCCATAAGGGAGAAGTGATGGTATCCATTGGTCAATAGTGAGAGCTGATGGTCACTGTGTTTGGGCTTCTGAAGAACATGTTAGTGGTTCAGCAACATAGTTAATACATTTAAAAAGTAATGTACACCACTCCTGGAAGCCTTGGTGCAAGGATATTGGAAAATTTTAACCTAATAGACAAAGTGACATTCTCACCCTAGGTTCTTGGGAGAAACACCTGAGCAGACAGTTTAGTGTTCCTATCCCGGGGAAAAAAGGCAAACACTGTTGCCACATTTCTACCTTCCGATCGATGGGGGTCACTGAAGGGCACTAGGAGCCTAGAATGCAGTCACTTCACAATCTCCAAGCAGGGACCTACCCCTGCTAGAGACAGAGGAGGACTGGCGTGGATCTGGAGACCACTCAGGGGAAAGTTAGGGGTTGGCAGAAACAGGAAGGCATCAGAACACAGCTGGTAGAGTCAAGTCTCTCATCTGACCTTGGGGAGTCTCCTAGAAAGAAGTTAATTCTTACAGGAGGGCCCTCGGACAGGTAATTGTCAGAGACATGGGGAAGGGGCCTTGGGAATATGGGAGCTGCTGAACTGCTAGGTCCACAGAGCAGGGACTTTAAGTCCCAGTGAGAAGCAGAGAAAGCTACGGGCTGGAGAGACGGGCCAGTGGTTAAGAGTGTGAACCACTCTTTGAGAAGACCTGAGTTTGAGTCCCAGTAGCCACACCTGGTGGCCCATGACCAGTTGCAGCTCCAGCTCCAGGAGAAATCTGGCCTCCAGGGGCACCCACACTCATGTACACATGCGCACACATAAATGCATTTTCTTTTTAAAGAGGAAATTATAAGTGAAACAAGGGAACAACCTCCAGGATCACACTAGGCACCTATGACAGACGTGGAGTAAGAGGATCAGAGAAGGCTCAGCTTGAGAAACAGCCAAGTTTTATGAGGGAGGTGTTCTAAAGGACTTTTGGTCAAAGTCAAAAACATGATAACTTTAGATGGCTCAAAAGGTTCAAGAGCATCTTCATTGAACAACTGGGGAACAAAACCCACAGTGGGTCAAGGACCCTTCCCCGAAGTCCCTCTGTCCTGAAGTCCTGTTCAGCCTCCGGTGTCCACGTCTTCTGAGGACGGAGCAGAGAGGAGGGAGAAGTAGCCTCTGGGAGTGGCTGTTGTAGAAACACAGCTCACAGGAGCCACAGGGAGCCCAAGGATACCAGCAGAATGTAGCCAGTGAGGATGAATGGGCTCAGGAAGGAAGGGACGGCCATGCTGGCAAACTTCAATTCACCAATCTGTCTCTTGATCCACTGGGTGAAGTGGGAGGTGCTGGTGTAGATGCTTGGGAATTGGCGACGGCCACAGCCAAAGTTCCAGCTCACCACGCCCATCTGGACCCAGGTCTTGTTCATCTTGCAAACGAGGGAGCTCCCGGAGGTGTCCTGCAGTGGGAGAGGACAGGAGGCTTTAAGTAGCAGCAGTATTTGCTAGATTAGGTCTTTGTTGTCCTCAAGGATGAGACCTAAGAATGAACCTATTCTGTGACACGGAAATTCTGTACTGAGGTCCTGGCTTGGGAACCCCACTGGCCTCTTCATTGGTCTGCTAGTTCTCTGACCACTGAGCCATCCTGAAGCTCTGGTGGGTCTCTAAAGTACAAATGTTGATCTTCCCACAGTCTTGCTTTCAGAGGGAGATCTTAGAAGTTTTGACCATCTTCTCTGTTTGTGTGCACAGACAGGCATATCCAGAAGAATAACATTTCAGGTATCAGACACCGAAAGGTAGCAGTAGGTTCCTTACTATTTAAACAAAATTCTTTTTATGGACTTCTTGCTGCCCAGTGATAGAGCAGTCACCTAGGATGCATGAGATCCTGAGTTCTATCTCTAGCATAAGAAAAAGGGGGGTAGGGGGAGCCTGGAACATTTAAAACTTTTATGAACCAGGAAAGAGTTATATGTATATTTGTCACTGGATGTTAGGCTCAAAATACTTGGAAAAGGGATTAGTAAGGATAATTCAAGTATTTGAAAGCAAAGAAATCCTTAACTTGTGGAATGAAGCTGGGGGAAGGGAGAATGGGGGGTGGAGATACAATTACCCTGTGGTTTGAATGACAATGGAGAAGAGAACCTATACCTAGAGAAAAACCCCCTCTTCCAGAACCTTAAGGGCTTACAACTTCTATTTTGTGGATTTAAACTCTGGTTGTGTCGAATGATTTTTAAGAAACGCAAATTATTTAAACTTAATTTAAAAAGGGATAGAGGGCCAGTGAGGTAAAGGGGCATCCAAGCCTGACACCTGAGTTCAGTCCGTGGGACCTGCATGGTGGAGGTAGAGAACCAGCTCTCACAAGCTGCTCTCTGTGCACAGATAGCATCCATGCACACCCCGTGTGCCCCAACACACACATAAATAAATGTAATTAAAAACTTTAGTGTTGAAGACTGATGGGAAATCTGATTAATCCAATAGCTATGTGTAAAACAACTTAAAATAGTGACTAAGAACAATCCCTCAGTAGAAAACATGTCTATGTCCTCATGGTACTTCAACCCAACCTTCAAAGAAGAGGTAATTTCTGTTACTTCAAATGTTCCAAAACATCTACAAATTATTTCCCAAGTGAAGCAGGTATAGTTCTCATGGTAAAACTTAACATAGGGAGTGACTTCTCTAAACACATTTTTAAAATTAATTAATTAATTTTATGTGCGTGAGTGTTTCGTTTGCATGTATGTCTGTGCAGTACGTATGTGCCTGGTGTCCCCAGAGGTCATAAGAGGGTGCCAGATCCCTTAGAACTGGAGTTATGGATGGTTATCAGCCACCAGTGGGAGCTGGGAATCAAACTGGGTCCTCTGCAAGAACAAGTGTGTTGAGATTTGATCTTTCGATAGGTATTGTAAAGATACCTACTGGTGATACATACTGGCCCCCAAGGCCTGGTTGCTCCCAGGAATGAGAGAATCAGACTGTACAATGTGACCTTGCTCCCTAGTTTAAAACTATTGGTCAAATAAAGATGCTGACAGCCAATAGCTGGGCAGAAAAGACTTTGATGGGGTTAGGTGGGGTTAGGGGTTTCAGGGCTTTGAGTCTGAGGAGACCACAAAGAAGGAGAGGAAGGTGGAGAGAGGAGAAAGATGCCACGAGGTAAGAGTCTTAAAATCATGTCCACAAGGGTTGGCCCAATGAAGTTAAGAGCAGCCCAGATAGAATATAGTAAGTAATTCCTCGGGGTTAGAGATAGTGAAGCAGAGTCCAAGAGCATAGAGGGAAGTTATCGGCTCAGCTTTAGTGCTGATGAAGGCTTATAAATATAAAGGTTGTTTGTCTTTTATCTGGAAACTGAATGATCAAAGGAAGGGCAGAAGCCACTGACAGAGATGAAATCTATTCGACAACACAACTGCTGAGCCAACTCTAAGCATCTTAAAGTGGATCCTGGCCTCACTGGAGGCTTGTTTTGTTTTGTTTTTTGTTTTTGTTTTTTGTTTTTTTTTAAAAGGGCTATGTGGGTTATTCTACACAATTTCTTGTTCCCTGAGGCCAGGCTCCTCTGGACCTGACTCTACCCTAGAGCCATGCAGTGTTTGTTGGATGTAAATAAATTAAACCCAACTAGCTGCTTTTCTAGAATGTAAGGGAATCTAGACAGTGTTATCTTAGGGTATATTAGCGGCTAAGTTAAAGACAGAACCTACATTGTCACACCACTTAGACTTGTGAGCAAACTTCCCATAGTCCTTTGGTGTGTCAGTGACGCACATGCATTTGTTTCTTTTCTCAGACATTCTTTCAGGTATTAAAACTACGTTAAAACTTACATACTTTTGAGCATATAAACCTTTGGTCCAAGAGATACTTATAATTTTACTTGTAAACAAAGTATGCTTCCATATAAAGAACTTGTAAACTTATCTTCTAAAGGAGATCTGTTCTTTCAATTCAGAGAGTCGGACTTAAGAGAAAAATTAAAACATGTTCTCAAGGAAACATGAGTCTGGGGACTGGGGGATGGCTCAGAAGTTAAGAGCAATTGTTGCTCTTGCAGAGGACCCAGATTCAGTTCCCAGTGCCCACAACCATCTGTAACACCACTTCCAGGGGATCGAGTGCACTCTTCTGGGTTTCACAAGCACCAGTCATGCACACAGTACACAGACATATATACAGGCAAAACACCTATATACATAAAATATTTTAAGTAAGAAAATGAAAGATGCATCTCAAAAACATTAGTGACTAGGAGAAGCAGTGGCTGAAGCTTATAGGATATAATAACTATGTCTGTAAAGCTGTCTGCCAGGGCCTGACCCAGATCTGCAGGCAGGCGGCTAATACTCAGGAACACTAAAATGGCTACAGAACTGGACAAGGTAGTGTAAGACTTTAATCCCACTATGCTAGCATGCAGAGGCAGGTGGATCTGTGAGTTCAAGGCAAGTCCATCTGGTCTAAATGGTGAGTTCCAGGCCTGCCAGGACCTGCTAGTGAGACCCTCTCTAAATAACAAAAATAAAAAATAAAGAACTCTACATGGGCAGGAGCAAAAAAAAAAAAAAAAAATTCACCCCTGTAATGGTTTGCATGAGAATGGCCCCCATAAGTTTATGTTTGAATACTTCCTTCGGAAGGATTGGAGGTATGGGCTTGTTGGAGGAAGTGTTACTGTTACAGGGGTAGGCACTGAGGATCCAAACGCCTCCAGCCATCTCTAGAGTGTTCTCTGGTTCCTGTTTGTGATTCCAGATGTAAGTGCTCAGCAGCTGCTCCAGAGACAGGTCTGCCTGAGTACTGCTATGTTCCCTGTTGTGATGGTGATAGACTGTCGTCTTTCTAGAACCATAAACCCCAAATAAACTCTTCTATAAGTTGCTCTGGTCATGGTGTTTTAACATAGTCATAGATAACTAGCTAATACAACTCCTTCCCTCCCCTACCCCTCATACTGGGAGCTTGGACTTTTGTACTTGGTCTCTGACGGCCACATGCAAAGGAAAGTTAAGCCAAGAACTGAGGATGCTGTGGGCATTAAACCCCAGCACGTGGAAGGCAGAGGCAGGCGATCTCTGTGGGTTTGCAACAAGCCTGGTCTACATAGTGAATTCCAGGATAGCCAGGGCTATGCAGAGAGACCTTGCCTCAGTATGACACCCCCCCAATGCTGCCTGCCCCCACCCCATCTACAAAGTCCACACCTGACAAGTGTCCAGACCCCATTCTGAGCTTGTGCACAGCATGTCGTCCCCAATAAACTTCTTCTGGTTCTTCAGCAGGAGGAACTGGTATCGATGATTGCAGATTTCATTGTTCACAATCCTGACAGCCAAGCCCTGGACACTATAGGGAGTCTTTGGAACTGCTATGGAGAGAAAGACCTAGTCATGACTTCAACTTTGGAACCTGTTTCCAACTCAGAGTCATATGCATTTGTGCATGAGGTCATGTCCTGAGATGTTCATTCATAAAAACTGCCTGACTTTCAAAATTGTTCTCACTCACTGAGAAAATTAAGACAAGAACCAAGAATGACACATGGCTTTAATCCTAGCACATGGAAGGCAGAGGGCAGGTGGATCTCTGTGAGTTTGAGGCCGGCCTGGTCTAGATAGTGAGTTCCAGGATAGCTAAGGCTATATAGAGAGACCTTGTCTCAAAAACACACAACAAACCACCACCAACAACAAACTAAACTAAAACAAGTGAAGCAAAAGTCTCCCAGAGTGTTGGGGTGAAAGCCAAGTATCAAGTGTGAACCAGGAGATATTTTCCCAACAATTCTGGGTCTGTGAGAATAAGCGTTGGTTCACTGCTCCTGGGAAAGGCAGCAAGACCCTAGACGGCTAGCTATGGCACCTACCGCCTGCTGAAAGTTTGCTAGGACTTCAAGTAACACCAACAGAGCTGAATCTCTGAGGATTCTGGGTACATACTGACTAGAGAGGTCACCTCCATGCCTCATCATATCCGCCAAGGCAGATGCCCTATGAGCAGTCAAAGATTTAATTTCCAACTATGCTGCAGGCTAAGGACGTAGTGTAGGATCTGCTCTAAGTTGGCTTTGAGGGTTGATAAGATGATTTAGCAAGTACACCTGATGAACTGGGCTTGATTCCCCAGGACCCGTGGGGTAGGAAGAGAGAACCAACTCCTTGAAAGTTGTCCACTGACAGACTGTGTATATTAGCACTGGTACACACACACACACACACACACACACACACACACACACACACACACATTTTAACTTTGGAAGCTAAGGTCCTCACAGGCCACTTGAACGCTGAGGATATCTTTGGGCTCAGGAAACACTTGCAGGTGACTGAGTGAATGAAGGAGTGAGTGAGTGACCCCATGACCGTGTCCTGCAGAGACAGGTGTCTTAAGACCTCTGTTCTACTGCACTCACCTTTGGCCTTTTCCAATCCCCACCCAATGACCCAGCACATGGTGCCAATTCTTGGTTTGAAATTCTTCTCGGGGAGACAGATTGGCTGGATGAGAGGGGACCAGGTGACAGGATACTTGAGCTTCAGGATGGCGATGTCGTGAGACATGTGGTTGATGAAGTTCTCGTGAATCACAATGCTAGTGACCAGGAGCTCTGGGGAGCTGTTGTCTGGGAGGGTCTGGACTCCCACCTTCACAGTGTAGTTAGCCGGGTTCTTGGATCTGCAGGCCCAGAGAAGAGGCAGATCACTAGCAGTAAAGCCATGAGCGACTAGAGAGATAAGGTTCTGAGTGATAGGACAACTCAGGTAATGTCCTCCACTCCCATATCCCCAGATTCACCAAGAACCATCCCCATCCACCCACTCCCCTGCCAAGGCCTGAAAGCCAAGTCCCCAGATGAGGGTGCCCCCACCCCAAGCTGACCTTTGTAAGCAGTGTGCTGCGGTGAGGATCCAGTGGTGGTGGATGAGGGAGCCGCTGCAGACGTACATCCCCAGGAAGAGGATGCTTACCTGCCATGGCCACTTGCCCACCTCCACCACCTTCCCGTTTACCACCTTGCAGGATATGTTGGTCTGACCACAGGACCAGAACCAGGGTCCTGAGGAGAGAGTGGATGGAGAGAGGGATGCAAAGTGTAGCCCTCGCCCCACAGGCCATGGCAGACTGTCAAAGCATCTTCCAGCCGTGTCTCAAGTAGTCACTGCCATTTGCACAAGTCTGGAGGGACTGAAGCTACCACCTCAAAACTGGCAACCACAGACAGACCCAGAATCAGCTGGAGGCCCCAGTTATAAAGAAAGTCCCTTAAACAGTGGAGTCTAGACAACTGTCTGACACTTGTTATGGTTATGAGCAAACACCCCAGGACTCATTCTTGCCCATGGTTTGTACAGATGACCAGAAAAAGAGGAGAAGATCACCAGAGGGGTGAGATCATCAACTCAGAGCAAGTGTTGGGGCCTCATGCCCAGGATTCCTGTTGGTTGTATCTAAAAATACATGGACAATATTCTTTCTCTCTCTCTCTTTCTTTCTTTCTTTCTTTCTTT